ATAAAACGTATAAGTCTTGATGCTTATCCGAAAAGAAATGGCACCTTAGCTTTTCTTTTCTCCGTGATATATATATATATATATATATATATATATATATATATATATATATATATATATATATATATATATATATATATATATATATATATATATATATATATATATATATATATATATATATATACACACACACACACAGTGGTCCCTCGGTTAACAAGATTTCGGTTAACAATTTACCTTCCATAAGATTCTTAACTTCGGTTAACGAGCAATCCCTCGATTAACGAGTTTTTTACGAGCTGACTTCAACATGTTTTCGCTTGCATTTGGCGGTCCACCAGCTGTAGTATTAGTCCGCCAATACAGTAATCGGTTTTAGAGCTTAAATTCCTTAATATTTTAGTAAATATCAAGAAGTTTATACTATTCAATAATTTTAAAAGTAATATTAACTTTTTTAGTCATTTTAACAATTATTGAACATAATTGAAGGTAAAGAAACTAGTTTCTGGCGTGGCATCCAGCCTGTTAACACACCAGACAGGCGTTAGTCTCTCTGTTTTCAGTGGAGGTAACATCTTGCTTGAGACTCTCTTCAACTAAACGCTTTTTTTTCTGTGTTTCCAAGCAAATTATTGGCCATTTTGAAATATATTTTACATATTGACAATATATAATGCAGTGCAGTGTTGATTTAAAGAAAATAATCTTGAAATACACCAAGAGAACTAAAATTTTATGGGTGAAATGGTGCCATGGGGTGACTTCTCTTCCACCCCAATGCCTTCTCTTCTTCCTTCTCCTCCACCCCCATTCTAATTCCCATCATCATCATCCAGGAGCCTTCTACATACACACCTCAAAGTAAGTGTACTTTTCTACCTTTTTTGTTGAATTTAGGCAATTTTCGGTGAGCTGGAACCATTACCAAAACCCATTGAAATATGGCTCAAGTTAACGAGCAACCTGCTGAACGGATTGTGCTCAAGTTAACAGAGGGACCACTATATAATTTTTTTTTTTTTTTTTTTTTTACATTCTGTGTTGAGTAACATAGTTTAAAAAAAAGTTTAGCTTCCCAAAATTATGCATTGAACAGTAACATAGCTCACTGCTCAGCCTTCCTTACTCTGAGTACTACTAGGTGGCGAGTCAGAGGCTGCTACACAATTATATGCCATCTCCGCAGATGATATTTCTTCTTATCCCCCATTTAGGACTTTCCACGTCATCCCTCATTAAACAAGGGATACCTTTATAGTATTCTGAGCATCAACGAGTTTGACCAAACGATGGCCATTTGTTCACTAAAATATTATGATCTTAAATATAGAGGGTGATCTTAAACATCACCGTTGTTAAATCAAAATATCGTGAGTACACTTAGAGAGATCGTAAATCAATGTTTACCTGTATATAAAATTGGTTTGAAATTTCTGGGGGGGGGGAAAATAAGAGTTGTTTGTTTTAGTATTTTACACAACTTATCAATGGTTCAGTTGGAAAAGGTTGGACATAAAGAAAAATCTGTTAATATTTATTTTCATGGTGGCCATCTTTAATTTGACTGTAACTGGTTAAAATTATGTATTTGAAAAGCTCATCATGCATTATTTCCATCCTCTAGGACTGATTAACCCTTTCGCTGCAATTCCCGCACTTGCCATTTTATTCTGGCTACCGCCAGGCAATTTTATTCAGCTTAGGGTAACCTCCCACAGCCATAGGGTTAAAACCTATCTCGATTAAGGCAGGAGTTCAGATAGGCATATCAGAAGAGATTAAGACTAAAAAGTTAGATGCATAATGCTCTAAAATTAAACTGATGACACAGTAAATGAAAAGAAGAGCTGTGTCATGAATAAGGTATAGGCCTACTGCATACTTTTAGATGTGTTAGGATACACCTCCTTTTAATGTCAGAAAGGATAGCATTCCTTAATAGGTACTGAGTGTAACAGTAATAACAGTTCCCATATTGCATTGACAACTGAATCAGTTGAGACATTATCCATGAGTGTTATAGAGGTATGAGGATTTTCATTGTATTTGGGGGGTAATGTTAGTATAGCTAATTTATTCACATGTTCATTCTTTCATTTGTACAGTGATGTGTTTCAAATTTTCTTTTAGCATTGATGCCACAGAAGAAAGTGGTTACTTGGGACGGCTTGTGAACCACAGTCGCAATGGAAATCTGGTTACGAAAGCTGTTGAGGTCAGTAACCAGCCACATTTAATTTTATTAGCTAAACGTGACTTGGACCCAGGAACTGAGATCCTCTATGACTATGGAGATCGGTCTAAAGAGGCGTTAGAGCATCATCCATGGTTGGCATCGTGATTGCTAGCTGTAGATTATTAGAAGTGTTTTTATAGTCTTCATTGATTTATTTTGAGGTTCATTGGGGTAAGTTGAAAGTTTTTGAACCACAATAGTTACAGTAATACCTCGAGTTGTCAGTATTATGTCTTAGGTGAAGGCATTGTGAAAGAATAAATAGTTTTACTGGCAAGAATGTATGTAAATAAGATTGCATTTTAAAGTTGGATTTCAGTATTTAAGGCTTAACAGAAATATGTAAAAATTGGTACAGTAATAAGATTAAATTTATATTGTTTTTTATTTTAAATATCATTATAATATTACTGTTTAACCTACAGTAGATACAAAATTAATTTCTCTTCCATTTATTTTTACCTTAGGTATAGCTGCTCCATCTTTAAAATTGAAATTGATCTACCCCATTGACCCTCTTAATCTGTGATGCATTAATGTCATCTATCTACTACTGCCAGTCACTTATGTTCTGTAATTATACATGACACATATATGTCAAATCCTTTCTATTGTGGTTATTACAAACTAGAAAATTTAATATATTATAGTATCTTAGGTATGTAGAAGGTATTTTGAATTTCTACAGTCTATAAAATCTTGTAACAAAGTTGATTGTTTTCATATAAGGTATTTGATAACCTGTCAGTCCAGAAACAGGGCCGGATCCAGACTTCAGATTTCACCGATGCAATCTTTCAGTGTCTGTAGTTGCAGCTAGCCCAGATTTTGAAAAGTATTTGGATTTTTACACCGCATTTTGCAATGCCATATCTATAATATATAATTAATTAATTTTGACTTTGATACTTGTATGTTTAGCCAGATATTTCAGCCTATATTTTCTCATAAAATAAAATGAAAAAAGACTGTATATACCAATAGTTTTATTGATTTACACAATACTGTTTATACATTATAGCGTTATACAGACACACAAACACATCAATAAGCATTAAATGTACAGTACCCCCAAAAAGTATCGTTAGTCATGGGATCTATGTGATTTGAGGCTTTCCGAGCAATGTTACTCAACTTGTTTCTGAACAATTGGTATTTTTACATTTGTAACCTTTGAGCATGAATGAGTACAATATATATGTTTTCGAACAATACATATATTAATATAACTTAATGGTTTTCTTGTTATACCTGTATTGAAACATCTAGTATGCCATACAAGGGCAACTCCCTCCCTCAGTCTTACCCCCATCTCTAGCTGTTGCTGATAGGGCGAGCAGGCATACCAACTTATGGTGAGGCACTGGGGATCATATCAAAGCATTTCGTTTAGCATTTGAAATTGTAATGATGGAAAATCTAATAATACTTTTGGGGGACTGTACATTAGTAAGATAATTATATGTCATAATTCCTTATGATGTCAACTAGTCCATCCCAGAAGGATGTACCTTAGCAAACTTTTTCACTGTAATGTTTGCATCAATTTCCATGGAATAGTGAACATTCATGAGAGCAAGTCCATTAAGATGATCCTGGCCCATCATATTTCTGAGATAGTTTTGAGCCTCCACACTGTTGAGACAGAGCAATCACACTTACAAGTTGTGATGGGTACAACACCCAGCACTATCGTGGCAGTCTGTTGGATGTCACTTTTTATATCATGACCAGCAGCCTGGTTTTTCTGCAAGTGATACTGTCAGACAGGCAACACAAAATTTTCGAATATCTATAATGAAGTTTGAAAAGCAGACTGTTCACCGCTAAATGGATGTTAGGGAAAAACTCACATTGTTGCCCTCTTCAGTGGAGTTAGCAAAGGACTGGCACAGTCATCGCAACATAAACTCCTTAGATCCATCACACATGATGTCACCTCACATAGATATACTTACTTCACCTGAACACCATCTGGAATATCCTTTTGAGGCATCACCACACCTGGCTGCAGTCACCTTTGACAATTTCAGGTAACACATTCACCGATTTAGGCTAAATTGCCCCTGGATGCAAGTAAACCATATATATATATCTTTGCCCTATGTATCAAACCTTAGTGTTATTAATTCAGTAAGCCAAGATCTCAATGTAAATATTGTCTTCAGATATACTTCCACACTTAAATCTATGCTGGTAAGAAATAAAACTCAATTGATTCTACAGCGTATGTGTACAGAATTCCATGTAAGAAATCCTGGCAGCGAGTATTACCTGCTGGGATGGATTAACCATAAGGCTGCAGCCTTGGGCCCTCAAGGTTAGGCCTTAGTTTGTGTTTCTTAAACTTAAATCATTGTCACAAGTTCACAAGCTGGTTAAGCAAATGGCTTTTGTTATGTTTACAAGGCTTTACAGTTATTATATACTAGATTAATTAGCCCTTTTTTATCCATATATTACATGGTAGTACACACATGACCCTTCTCTCTTATCAGCCCTAAGCCCCTCACAACCTTAATCCGGCCCTTGTTACCTGACGTTGTCAAAGGTAACCGCCGTGTGATGCCTCTAGGGGGAATCCCGGCTGGTGTTCAGGTGTTGTAGGTCAGGAGGTGATGTGAGTGTAACCTTACTTGTGACCATACCCTACCCCTAGGCCCGGCTCCTGTTATCCCCTCCGTTGAGGAGGTTTGTCAAACCTGCCACTCGGGTATGAAAAGTGACAGTTAGTGTCCAAATTTGGTGGGCCATGTAGGTCAACACTGACATTGAGATCATGTTACTGATAGGTCAATTATTTGACCGATGCATATGATACCTTTGCATCGGTCATAATTTTTTGAGCGATGCAAGTGCATTGGCCTGGATCCGGCCCTGAGAAGAAACACTACTCTCAGGTATAGAGTAGCAAGTTTGTCCTTGCCAACATCGAGACTGACAGTTGAAATCTACACTTATTGTTACACAAAAAATATCATAACTTGACTACTAGGATAAGCCGTTACTTCAGGATTTTGTAGATCAATATAATTTTTAAATTCTAAAATAAAGTACTGTACTTACTTTTGCTGGAGCTCAGCTATAAGGAAGTATAAGTTGGTAGTGGTTCTGGAACGTATCATTCAGAACTTTTCCAATATCCAAAAAAATAAAGATACCTGTTTAAGTGTGGAGTGACTGAACCATCTTTTCATATAATATATATATATATATATATATATATATATATATATATATATATATATATATATATATATATATATATATATATATATATATATATATATATATATATATATATATATATATATATATATATATATATATATATATATATATATATATACTGTATATATATACTCCTCGACTTACGACAGGGTTAAAGACCCAAATCCAGGTCGTAAGTCGAAAATGCGAAGATAATACATAGAAAATCTAAAATGGGTGTCTCTTTTTCTTCTCAGCGCCACAAAACTCTCACTTTTAAGCTTGCCAGCCATTTTAAAGTGAATTACAAAAATAATTTTTGTCAGTACACAGCGCAATCACTAACGTTGGGACTCTAAAGTATGTAATTTGACAAAATTTTGGTATGACTGAGGCCGTCGTATGTCCGGGTGGTCGTAGATTGAGTATATCGTAAGTCGAGGAGTACCTGTATATATATACATACAGGTGCTCCTCTACTTAAGAATGTTCAACTTACAAACTTTCAGAGATAGTTACATCATCACTGAGGGGGGTTACCTGCCAGAACAGGTGTTTAATGTGGATGAGACTGGATTATTTTGAAGAAATTAACACAGAACAAACATTACCTGAGAGGAAAAGAGTGAGCCAGGTTTGAAGGCTGTATTAAAGGATATAGCTGTACTAAATATCCATAATATTTTAATTTTTTTTACAATATGTTTGGTATCTATATATATATATATATATATATATATATATATATATATATATTAGAAGTCCAAAAATCCGGACTGCCTGGGGATTGGGTCCGTCCGGATTTTCGGATTTTCCGGATTCTCAGCCAGTACTTTTAAAATTCAAATTTAAGGAGGAATAAAGAAGAGATGAACAGGTACATTTTGAGAGTTTATTCATCAGCAAGTAAAGCATGCTTCATTTATCAAAACGAGCAGTTTTAAAGAAAAATAAAGTCAACACTTGACAAAAATGTAAACAAACTGTCTAATACCATGACGAGTCTTGAAATTCCTAAGCCATCCATCACTAAATGCTCGCTCTGATTCAATGTTTATTTGCTCCATAAAAGACTTTGCTTTTGCAATAAGCATCAGCCCATAAATTGCCGTACCTTCTGATCGTTTTAACAAAAACCATTTGTGCAACACTTTATCAAGATTTTCTAATTTGGGCCAATGTAAACTTTTTCTTTCAGCAATTTTATTGTAAGGCTCAGAAGAAGGTGTGAATTCTAGAATTTTATTCCTTGCCTTTTTTATATCATAAATTGTAGACTTTCCAATGTCGTATGTTTCCATTAGATCAGTATTGCTCACACCACGTTCTAGTTTCTTAATTATTTCAAGTTTGTCACTCAATTTCAATGTGTTCTTCTTTCTCTTCACACAACAAAGTTCATCTACTTTAGGAGCCATTATTATGGGCTTGTACTCTGTAAATGGAAAGAGTAGGACTCAAAATTACATACCGGTATGTTGTCACAGTTTGATTGCTTGTTTTAAAGTGGCGATCGCGTAGTCGCTTGTTGTCGCTGTGTAGCTGTGGCGTTCAGGCATGCACACATACACACAAAAGATTTATAGTGCCACAAATTTTACATTTGAGGACAAGCTAATTACAAAACTAACAAAATTAGCTACCTATAATTTACAATTACTTTTATTATTAGAATTACGTAAATTATTTTTTAAAGGTACGCCATTCATTAACGTAACCCACAAAAGCCCGCTAAATTTAAAAAGTTTTAAAGTTTTCGAAAAGTCCGGATTCTCGGGTGGTCTGGATTTCTGGCATCCGGATTTTTGGACTTTTACTGTATATATATAGCGAGTATATATATATATATATATATAGTCACTTCTCAACTTAAGACGGGGTTAGAGACCCAAATCCAGGTCGTAAGTGGAAAATGCTTAAATAATACATAGAAAATCTAAAATGGGTGTCTCTTTTTCTTCTTAGCACCACAAAACTCTCAATTTTAAGCTTGCCAGCCATTTAAAGTGAATTACAAACGAAAATTCTGTCTGTGTACTGACGTTGGGACACGAAAATACGTAATTTTAAAAAATTTTGGTACGACTGAGGCTGGTCGTAAGTGCGGGTGGTTGTAAGTCGAGTAGGTCGTAAGTCGGGGAGGATATATATATATATATATATATATATATATATATATATATATATATATATATATATATATATATATATATATATATATATATATATATATATATATATATATATATCGTGTGAGTTGATCTAAGCATTTATACAAAAGACATGCAAGAGTTGAATGTCAGAGTTTTGATCTCATGTTTAAATAGGTGGAGTAAACTTACTTACATCAACACATCGATGATTGGATGTGTGATGCCTATGTCTCAAATATTTGTAACCAAATGGGATTTGTATGAAAATACCCATTTATTTGTTGCAAATAATATTTTTTTCTACATAAATTTAAGACTGAAATGTATCATTTGACCCGGTATGATAGTTAATTTGAATCTTAAGTTTATATTTATTCATGTCCTTAGAACCTAAATGAAATGTGTTTTGCCAGTAATTTTATTTGTTAATGAAGGTATGAAAAGTTAAAACTAAATGGCTTTTCCCAATTCTTTTTGAAAGATTAAAGTGATAAATGACTTTCTGACTCATTATGGAAAAAAGTAAAATGTTAGATGACTTTTTCTGATTCATCAGGTACTAGAGTTCCTATAATTAATTAAAATTAAATTAATCATGAAAAGGACCTGGAAAAATTTAAGATATTGCTTTGAAATTAATTTTTTTCACCATACAGAAAATCTAAGGCTGAACATGAGTAATATAAATTTTCATCAAAGGGACCCATTTTTCTTTGCTCTTGCAAGTATTTCTTAACTTGCTTTGTTTGAATGGTATAAAGTGAGTTGTTTAATCAGTATTGACAAAATTGTCACTGTGTTATCTCTGAAAATTACTTTATTTTTCAGGAAAATATCAAGTACAGTACAGTACATACCATATTAAAAATACATTAAGTGTATGTAGTATGTAACCCTCCTTAAGGATTGTAGTGTGTCCCTCTGAGGAAAACTTAAAATGTTCATTGCCACTAATTTACTAACATAATTAAAACCTGTCACTGTATCTTGTGTCTGATCTAATTGAAGTGCAGGACACACTTTTACTACATCCAAAATTTACCTCTTGAAATTTAAGTTTGGTAGAGCTGAACTTGATTGACTCTACTCATAGACTCCCACACACACACAAGTGCACTTTGTGTGAGCATAGATGCACATGCACATTTGCTTTTTCACAAATATTTCGTTAAGGAGGTAAAACCAGGATGTAAGTAGAAGTTGATACATGTAGTGGCAGCATTGTAGTCTCAGGATGTGACAGGACTTTGAGCATAGTTGCCAGTGTTCCTAGCATCTTCTGCATTTAGCTATGTGCCTTGAAGAGGACACTGATGTAACTGTGTGGGTACAGATGAGCATCATGGGTATTATTGACATACTCTATATTAGTTAAGTAATAACATTGCCAAATAATTCTAGGTAATTTCCTGTTGGAATTTTGCCTTTCTGGTCAGTTAGAAGAGAATGCAAACAGCCTAAATTTGGTCTTATATGTGAGTTATGACAGTTTAGCAAGAGTGTTTGTCAAAGGTCCTCACAAATGCTGAAGAGATGTGCAGCTTAGAAATGGATTTAAGGCTGACATGTGTACTGCAGTATTGAACGTGGACTCAGTTAAGATTTTGTGATGCAGACTTACAACTTTGGTAAACAAAAAGCAATTTATGTGAAATTTTATATTCTGTGCTGTGCTTCTCTTTGATTAGTACAAATTTTTGAAGATTTTTTAAGCCATAAATGAGAATTAAAATTTACATAAAGCCATAAAAGTTTGTCAAGGAATCTCGGTTATTAATCCCCAAATATGAATTTGAATTACTGCTTGTATACTGTAGTGCAAAGTATTACCAAGAGTAAGTCACTGCAATAGATGGTAATCAGTCAACTAAAGCATTGGATTAGAAGTAGGTGAATGTGTCCAATTAAAAATATTTTGTAAATAAGTAGAATAACTTTTCCTGACTACCTAATTACAATGGAATTAACCATAACCAGGATTTATATAAGGTTCAGTGTGGTGTTGCTACCATGCTAGGAATGATCAGTCAGATGAATTATGTCAAATCATTTGCTATTCATAATACTGATAATTCTCTGTGGATGTAAAATATGGTTAGGATAGATTTTGAAACAGTAGATTGTATTCTGTTCCCTTAATTAGGTTAAAAAAATTCTTAGAGCTTGCTAAGTGCTTGAAGTGCTATTCAACATGTCTCATTTAATTTTAAATCTCTTGATTACTAAAAATTGGTGTCATACTGCTGTTCATCAGAAATTCATCTATTCTTTAATGTGAATCACATTGTATAGAATGATTTATTTATTTATTTTTTGTAAGATGACCAAAAATCTTAGTGTCAGGTCATAATATGCAGTACAATATTTGAAATTATTTCAAATACTTTGTATGCTATTGTGTATTTCTATTATAATGTTTAATTGATAGATATTTTAAATAATTAGATAGGTCTTGCATATATGAATTTATAGTACTTTACTGTACTTAACTTTTGTTTACCATTTTGGAGACTTGTCAAGGATATTTCTAGTGGTTAGATAAGTGTGGAACATTTATGCTACTGCTCATGGTATTATATTATTTGTATCAAACAGTTGTGTGAGTGTTAATATATTGTTATTAATTCTTCTTACTTTTATGTTCGTTGATAAGTAATGGTTTAATGTTAGTAATTGCTGAAGTTATTGGACCCTACAGACATCACTTTACAGTACTGCACCTCAATTGAACTAAACTCCCACTAAATTTGATGAATATATCATACAAAATCTTCTAACACTACAGTAATTATTTTGCTTCTTGGGATTATAGTATTGCCGTCCTAATGATGTTGTGTAAAGTATTTGCTTGTTCATTTTGTTTGTTGTTCTATACAGAGGGGCACCACGGCTCTGTTGTTTTTATTGTGGACCTTGGTCTAAACTGACAGGGATTCAATCATGTGGCCAGGCAAGTATGGATGGGACACAGTTTACTTTGGTATAGGCTTAGCCAGCCTTTCACAAACTATTTAAAAGCCCTGGGCTGAACTAACTCCTTTCTTTGGGGTTACCACCCCTCACATTGTGGAAATTTAATTGTTTGAAGGATTTTAGTTTGAGCTTTAATTTTAGACATTGACTGTTGAAGCATTTGTTATATGGGGTCATCTGGGATTAAACTGTCACAATACAGTACTCTTCTTGGGGCCAATGTGTACACAATGGACATTAATAGTAAATCTGTGGGACCAAAAATCACTAGTGTCGTGCCAGCTGGGAATTTTTCAAATAAGGTGTGCAGATTAGCTATGTCTGAGCTTGGGGCCGGACAAGTGTTTTTTCACATCTGTGTACCTGCCACTTGATCTGGCAGACAAGTTAATATTTTGAGAGGAAATTACTCAGACAGGAATTTGTCAGGTGCTCCATGACTCCACCTCTGTGTTCATTTTTAACCAATGAGTGATGTGGCAGGAGGGTGGGGGCTGTGTGAGTGGGCTTGACCTGACACCATATCATGATGTTACGGCTGAGCTGATCCTGGTCTTTTCTGTTCCCACAATGACTTGACCTGTTAAGAAAACCAAGGATTAGAGACAGTAAGGATAGACCACCGGGCACTTGCTTTACCCACAATGCACAGCTCGGTGACATCACTATTGTAAACACGCATAATCTGGTAACCTCAATGTGTGCCCGTGTCTGGTCCCGGGACTAATGTATTAACAATTATGGTTATTTGTGCAATATATGGGTTTACCAGCAAAACTCAAATCCCAAGCAGAGAGCACATCAAGTATTACAGATATCCCAGAGATAAGAAAACTTGTGTTTAATGGATAAATGCCCACAAGCGTTTTGATAAAGTAAACACATAAGGTTAACCGAGAACTTTGAAGAGAATTCATATTTCTTTTGTATCTCCTTAATTTTGGAATGTTTGTCAATATCCAGGTGTCTACAAGAAGGCGAGACATTCGTTTTGCTATATGTGGCCAAAAAGAACCCTGAACAGCTTTAATAATCTTGAAGAAATTAAAGTTAAGTACATCCGTACGTGGGTTTCAGGTGTCGACATGCCACGCTTGTTTCAGGACGGGAGGGAAGAATTCTTGTAGTTTCTTAATTCTGCAAAGTCAGTCAATGTCATGTCATCCAGAAGACCGTGAGACATTGTTCTTACCACGTCTGACAAAAAAAACAACAATAATATTGCCCAAAATATAAGAAAAACTAAAGAGTTGTATCAATTAATTCATTGGCGGCAGCAGTGATGCTTAACGCCTAAAGAAACATGCTCTATTTTCTTAAGTATCCATTGGAAGGTAATACCCAGTTGTCTGGAGTACCCTGAGACATTCACCTTGTTATGTCTGGCAAAAGGAAAATCATTGCATTGCTAATAAGCTAAATAATTTAGTTGCTTCGTCCATGTCATCAGCGAAATGCCTGGCACTCCCTGGGTGTTTCCTTGTATTTTTGTTTTCTCTCCATATCACTTATTTTTTGGATGACTATGAGAACATAAGGCATTCATTTTGTTATACCTTGCCACAGAGAAGCCTTAGCCTTATGAGTATTTAAAAAAATAAATAAACAATCAAACATCAACCAAGGCAAGGCTGTAGTCCTTGTTGCCACCACAAGTAGAGTGACGTCATTGAATGGGGCAGAGCTAAAGTTGATGACGTTACAGCGTCATATCCATACTGTATAGTCCTTGAAGAAAACCCAGGTACAGTCAACAGCCTCAGCGACATCATAGCTGATCACTCTTAGTTCTATTGGTCTATTCTCATAATGACCTGAGATGAAAATCTGTATAAAAGCTCCCACTGATTGCTGTGTCATTAGAGTTGTGGAAGTAAAAATATGAACATGAATAAGAAGCAAGGAAAACTGGCCTGGTGGGGGTAAAAGGTATTTATTGCACTATAGATGGACACAAATGATCTGTGAGTTAATACACAATAATTTTTTTGTTTTGAAATGTTTTTTAACTTTTCCACTAAAAGGGGGGCAGGCAGGCAATAAAATTTTCCCTAATTTTGTCAGGGCAAATATAGGATGGAATTGAAGGCATTTAGTCTTATTAACTCTCCTCCTTTAGTTGACAATCTCTCTTCCTTTTCACTGCCGCAATGTTGCTTTACACTCTTTTACAGGTACTGTACTTTAATGGGCAACTTTTGGTGGATTTGGCATTCTGTGTACCGCCGGCAAGGCAGTGTCGGCTCGTAACACTCGTCTTGCCCGTGGTGCCCACCGTTTCTGTGTGGATGTTGGTAGCACTAGAATAACCTGTTATAGTACACCCTTCTTTCCTCACACAGCCAAACTGTGGAATGCTTTTCTTTCTGTGCTTCCATCCTCAAACAATCTGTCTTTTTAAAAAATTTGGTTTTCTGTCAGCTTTGCAATATAGATTAACATACAGCGATATCTCCGTTAGCTGGAACATTTGGTGCACAGCACTTCCGGGAATGAGAGATTTCCGGGTAACGAGACGACTCTCAAAGCCGGAAAAAATATCACTCATCCCTGGAATTTTCTATGTAACGGAAAAATTTTCTCGGAAGTTCCAGAAAATGCCCATTACATCATTTCTCGAACCTGGAAAAATATCCCTTATCCCTGGAATTTTCCGGGTAACAGAAAAATGTTCTCGGAATTTCCAGAAAATGCGCCTGATTTTCATCTCTCAAACCCGGAAAAACTCCCCTATCCCAGCAATTTTCCGGGTATTGGGAAAATTTTCTCGTAATTTTCCAGAAAATGTGCCCCTCGGAAAATCGTTCTCAAAGCCTGAATTTTACGGAAAATTCCCGCTTTGGGATCGATTTTCCAAGAAAATTCCAATTCTGGCTATGAGAGAGTTCTGGGTTTGAGGGATTCCGGCTAACGGAGTTGTTATTGTATTGTACTTTCTCCTCTAATTTTAACTTCTTCTTTTTGACCCAGGCCCCATTATGGGTCAATGACCTGTGCCTGGGTGGGCTATTCATCAAAACCATTTTCCCATATAAATTAATGTAATAAGGGGGGGGGGGATGTGTTCCTGTGCTAAGCTCTGTGACAAAATAATTGTAACTTCAAAATACTGAAGATAAAAACAATAAAACTTGTAAAACATAAACAGAGTTTTCAATTGTTGCTTATGAGAATATTAATTCATTCACTCTAGTAATGATACAATGTTTCTTACTATGTTATCATAGGAAAATGCATGGTTTATATAATTTGCATACACTACCAGCTTCATCATAACAAGAGACCAGCTGGGGACGCTACCTCTGCCGATTCTGTAGCAATGTTCCACCCGCCACACACTGCACCCTCCTCCTGTTCCCCCCACTGAGCCAGCTAACTTGTGTGCAAAGAAATGTATATTCTCTTTATGTGTTTGCCCTTAGGAAAATTTTTTCTTTGAATTTTTCACAATATGTATGTTGGATGGTTGTGTATGTAACTGAGTAAAAATAAATGAAGTTACGTACAGTATGTCTAGCCGAAAATACGAGCTGAAAAACAACCATAATACACGTACCTCACAGCGTGGCCCAGTAGCCTGGTGGTTAGTGACGAGTCTAACCTGGCTATGATGCCCTAATAAATCACTATTAAGCACTACTATATCAGTAAACACTAATAATAACAGTAAATCCAGTGAAATATGGCAAGGAGTGAGGAGAGTTACAACAGCAGGTGACGCGCTAATTAGTGGTCACTCACTCCCCTTACTCACTGCGGTTGCCAGGCATCCTATCGAAATGCATATGGGAGAATCTGTATCTTGTAGTCTAATTTGAAATCGGTGACGGGGACAGTGAGTGTGATCTGGGAACAACAGGTTTAGGGGGTAGCGTGGGTGGGTGTCTTCCTCCCCCAAGATCCCTTTAATATGTCTATGGAATTTCACCATAATTCTCACATTTGGGTTCATTTGATGCTGGGATGATAAAATATTATAAAATCAACTTTGCTGAAAAAAATAAATTCCTATTCAACACCAGGGGTCATTTATTTACAAAGGACATGCAGCTGATCAGCTTAGCTCCCTTGCCACTCGTGCTTACCATAACATGTCTTCAGCACTTGGTAAATTAGTACAGTATTGTAGTTTATTTATCATCACTTACTAAATAATATTATAGTATATTTATCATAACTTAATAAGTAGTATTGCAGTGTAGAGTATTATGCATTTGTATACACCCTGGTTTATTCACTAATCAGTTGTTTAGATGCACAAGTAGCCAAATTGAGTCACCATGTTTCACTCAAAGGTAGTAAATAACATTGTTCAGAAGGAATATTCATATCAAATACTATACAGTGTGTTTTAGTGACTATTGTTAGTAGATTTGCTGAAAGCTCTTGCACGAACACATCCCGAGTGAATACGTTCCAATACACTTATCCTCTTCTTTTCAAGTCAAATTACATATTGTTTCTTAAGATTTTTTTATATTTACCCAATTTTTAACATACAGTATGTACAAGTACTTACATAATTTTAACCAATTTCTTAAAACCCTCTAGTGTCACTCTATATATATATATATATATATATATATATATATATATATATATATATATATATATATATATATATATATATATATATATATATATATATATATATATATATATATATATATATATATATATATATATATATATATATATATATATATATATATATATATATATATATATATATATATATATATATATATATATGCCACTTGATTTTATCTCTGGCGCATAAAAATTTGTTTTGTTGGTGTCAAGGTTTTTTATACTTCATAGCTCTCTAGCTAGAATGCCTAAGATCTTTATGTCGTGATGGCTTTTCCATTTGGTAATGTAGGAGCAGGGACATGCTTGCTAGCTTGTCTTATGTAGGTCATAATCTTCTGTAATTTTATGGTGACAACAAGCTATTAAACAGCAATTGCTTTGTACTTAGTGCTAGAGCAGTTCAAGATTTACATTGAAAGTGTATCTGCATAAACTAGAATTTGTTCTTGGGGTGGTGAGTACTGTACTGTGTGAAAAATTAAAAATAGTGTGAATTTACCTGGATACCAAAATAACCACATCGGTTGAGTGGATATACTGTTTACCTGTTCCATTGGGGTTTTGGTTTGGTCTTGAGGCACTTCCAGTTCACCCAGTTTACAACTGAGGAAGTGTATGTGGTTGAGTGCAGTCAGGCCATGCTGTCTGCTTGTGTACTGAAGGCTTAGTATACAATGTGCTGTATCCAACACTGTCCCTAATGGGCTGTTTTTCCTATGGGACCCATTTACACATTTCACATAGATACAGAAAACTCTGAATGTAAGAAGAATTATTATAAAAGGGAGGGAGGATTGTCTAGAAGTTAGTGTCGTATTAGAAGGCAGCCAAAGAACCTATGTAATGAATAAAACATGTACTGTATATGGACACAAGTTTAACATATTTGCCATGTAATTTCTGTGAATAAAATGGGACATGTTGGATGATCATATAATTCAAACAAGAACATTTTAAACGCCATTATGATATTTTGTATGTTAGTATTGACTTTAGATTCACTGTTTTTCTGTTTTGAGCTTCTACAACAACATATATACTACAGTACTGCAGATGCCATCATACTTTGCAAAATTTGTTTTTCAAATGATTAGATAAAAAATTGCATAAAGCCAAGGAACCATTAATTCTGATGGTAAAGTTTAATATTTTGGATAATTATTATGCTTTCTCAAGAAACTTAGATGAAAAGAAAGAGACAAAGGTGCTCTTAGTTATATTATTGTGTAGTGTCTAAAGAAGTAACTACAATGCTTATAGACAATATTGTATTTTGAGGCATATTCCTGTACTCTATCTCTGGTATTATTTTTATTACAGTACTTTCTTAGTTTACTTCATAGTCATTGTGTTTCAACCCAAGTTTAAAAAAAAAGTCACGAAGGACACTGCATTGCAGTGTGTGACAGTGAGGTTTGGCGGTAAAATTAACTAATTCCAATAAAATTAATTTATAATAATGGAATTAGTTAATTCTACCGCCATGCCTCCCTGTCAAGCACTGTAGTGCAGTGTCCTTCAGGATTTTTTTTTCTAAAACTCTAGTTGAAACATGATGACTCCCATCATTGGAAGAGGGTGATGAAAACTATGGCCGTAAGACTAACAATATGTTTAAGAGATGCTTCTCACTGGATAGTAAAAATAATCTGTATAGACAATATCATTGTGGTACAGGAGAAATTCTGGGTTTGATGCTCAGGTGGTTAGAGGGTCTTGCCCCATGTGTTTATATAATTAACCCTGATATGCCAAGTATTGTACTGTATTGTGAATGAATTACTCATATCGATAAGATGATAAACTGATGTACATAAAATTATGTCTTGTGGGCTAGCCATTTTGGCTGCCAAATGTTTTGGTATTGTGAGATAATTTTTCACAGAATTTCATGTACTACCTCCAGGAAACCCAAAATCAGCTATTTGGTCCCAAGTGTAGGATTTTACTGGTTTACCTCATAAGTGTTAAGCTAATGGTACCAACAAATAGCTGCTCTAGACTTGTACTATTTCTGATGTCTTTTTGTAGAATAAAGACCAGGATAGCCTAAAGAAAAATTCAAGGTGACCATTTTATAGCAGAAGGGAATGTTGGTGAATGGAAACTTTTCTTGTTTTCCCTTACAACAAACCCTCAAACTTAAAAAAACGAGAAGAGAACTAGAATTTTTATATATTCCAAAAAGATTGATTCTTTGGAGGAGTGTAGAGATATACATGTACAACTGTATAAGAATTGCTGTCAGGAGAAGTAGCCTTTTATTAGATTAATAAGATGGAGTTGTTGTCAAGATACGTAACAGAAGGGATGCTATCCTTCTTACTTTTCTGGAAATGATCTCAGGGTTGAACCCTGTACATGTTGCAGACACATCTGTTTCAATGACACATTTGCATCTTATTTCTTTTTCCAGATTTCCTATGGGTTCTGATGATTTGAAATGTTGACAGTTTTTTGTTGGTTGGTGCTATCATGGCTTTTACAATAATTGATTTCATTCGCTTGGAGTATCATGCCACGGACAACTAGAAGATCATAACTGTTGTGAGGAAGCTTTAAATCTTATAAAACTTTTTTTTTCCTGTTCGAGTAAATCTTCAAATACTCTGTACTGTATTACATTTTGATACATTAACAAAAAACTGAAAAGCCAATTTAAATATTTTCAATCCTTTTATCTTGAAATTTGTATTTTCCAGATTAATTCAGTTAATAGATTCACTGATATGGACAGTTTTATATCATTGTTTATAAAAATTTGTATGCATAGCACTTCATAATTTTTTTTTTACCATTACTTACAACATACTTTTAAGTATTTCAGCATCTTTTAGATTTTACATACCAGTAGTATGTTTGTCTTTTTTTTTATCTCATAAAAAATGGGATGATGAGTGCTATTGTTTCATCTAAAAAAACTGGCACATTTGAAAAATAAAAACCCCCATCCATTATTATTATTATTACTGTATTATTATTAGTAATATATTTAGTGAATGACTAGTTTCGCTTCTTATACCATACACAAAATTTAGGCATTACCTTTACAATATGCTGAGCCTATATTACCTCATCTTAACTCCACCTATGTGGTTACTCCTTTATGATAGTACATCATTCATGCCACTTAGTAGAATGGCTCATACTACAAAACATGGGGCATATGTTACACAACTGTGATTTGTGTGTCATACAGTAGTTGTTCTTGTTACATGCAGTAGAGTGGCTCATGGTAGACAGCAAGTACAGTAGTTCAATCACCACAACAAGATGAACCATGCTACACAGCAGTGGCTCATAACAGAGTGAACCATGCTACACAACAGTGTGAACCATGCTACACAGCAGTGACTCATAACAGAGTGAACCATGCGATACAGCAGTGGCTTATAACAGAGTGAACCATGCTACACAACAGTGTGAACCATGCTACACAGCAGTGACTCATAACAGAGTGAACCATGCTACACAGCAGTGACTCATAACAGAGTGAACCATGCTACACAGCAGTGACTCATAACAGAGCGAACCATGCTACACAACAGTGTGAACCATGCTACACAACAGAGTGAACCATGCTACACAGCAGTTATTCATGCTACACAACAGCGTGAACCATGCTACACAGCAGTGACTCATAACAGTGAACCATGCTACACAACAGAGTGAACCATGCTACACAACAGTGAACGATGCTACACAACAGAGTGACTCATGCTACACAACAGGGTGAACAATGCTACACAACAGTGATTCATAACAGAGTGAACCATACTACACAATAGGGTAAACCATGCTACACAATAGGGTGAACCATGCTACACAGCAGGATGAACCATGCTACACAGGGTGAATCATACTACACAACAGAGTGAACCATGCTACACAATAGGGTGGCTACACATCAGATACTCATGCTACATAACATGAACCATGCTACACAAAAAATGGATGAATCAACACAATAGTGAACCCAGTGAACCATGCTACACAATAGGTGAACCGTGCTACACATCAGATACTCATGCTACACAACAGGGTGAACCATGCTACACAAAAAAATGAACCATGCTACACACGATGAATCATGCTACACAATAGGGTGAACCATGCTACACAGCAGTTACTCATGCTACGCAGAGTGAACCATGCTACACATCAGATACTCATGCTACACAACAGGGTGAACCATGCTACACAAAAAAATGAACCATGCTACACACGATGAATCATGCTACACAATAGGGTGAACCATGCTACACAGCAGTTACTCATGCTACACAACAGAGTGAACCATGCTACACAATAGGGTGAACCATGCTACACATCAGATACTCATGCTACACAACAAGGTGAACCATGCTACACAACAAAGTGAACCATGCTACACAGGGTGAATCATGCTTCACAGCAGTTACTCATGCTACACACAAGGTGAACCATGCTGTTCAATAAGGTGAACCATGCTGTTCAATAAGGTGAACCATGCTACACATCAGATACTCGTGCTACACAACAGCATGAACTATGCCACACAACAGTGACTCGTGCTACATAACTGGGTAAACCGTTCTACACAGCAGTGACATGCTACACAGCAGTGAATCTTGCTACACAGCAGTGAACCATGCTACACAGCAGTTATTCATGCTGCACAACAGATACTTACGTTACACAACAGTGATTCGTGCTGCACAGCAGTGACTCATAATACACAGCAGTGACTCATAATACACAGCAGTGACTCATGCTACACAATAAGGTGAACAATGCTACACAGCAGAGACTCGTTTTACAAGACAGGGTGAATCATGCTACACAGTAGTGACTCATGCTACAGAATAAGATGATTCATGTCACAGCAGTGACTCATGTTACACAATACAGTAATGTGAATCGTGCTACACAATACAGCAAGGTGAATCATGCTACACAATAAGGTGATTCATGCTACTAAAAGTGAATTATGCTACCCATCATGGTGACTTATGCTACACAATAAGGTGATTAACGCAACACAATTTGGTGAATCAATGCTACACAACAGTGAATCCAGTTACACAACAAAGTGAATTGTGCTACACAACAGTGAATCGTGCTATACAACAGAGTGAATCGTGCTACACAACAGGGTGACTTGTGCAAAATTCTATTTTCTCCATAGATACTGCACAAAGGCATCAAGTTGGCAGTCATTGCTTGCTTTATTTTTGCATATGCCATATTCCTAGTATACTGTGCTGTACTTAGATACATACAATAAATTATAGAGTATCCATGTGTATTGTACACAAAAATATCCCAGTCAAATTTTTGCCTTAATCTGAAGGTACAGGTATTTGGAAGATGTTATAATTATGCATTGTATTTGTATTCAGTCAAAAGAAGTGATCCTCACTAAATATTACATTCCAGTCAGGTTATGTCTTATGCTCAAATCTCTGTTTGATGATAACGTCACTTTACTTCACATCATTTGTATTTTGTTCATTAACTTAACCCATACTGTTGAGCAGATTACATGAGACAGTGCCAGGAATAATGGTTACTTGTAGTATCTTTTACAATAAATAGCATGTAGGATGCTGGTTTACCAACTGTATTGAATGCAACTGGGTATCTTGCCCTTTCAAACAATTACACAGAAATTATTTACTATATTTTTTTATCTGCTCTGCTAACGTATATGAACCTGGCAACTGCAGTATGTATTGTATTTAAACTATATTTATTGAAGCTATAAATATCTGGGCATTGCACTGCTAGCATAGCGCTGGAATGGCAGTTGCAGTTTTGACCACCATTCATTATAACCTCAATTATGTAGCTAAAGCAGGCCTAGAAGATATATGAGTAAATAAGAATACAATAGATTCATATGCACATAATTAACAATTTAGAGGAAATCCTTCGCATTGCTCAGCACTGCCTTGTCCAGCAATGCCAGTCATCACTGGCTCTGCCTTAACAGAGAAACTACCTAAACACATTTCACAAAGCCCAAAATAGTATTTGTCATAATGAAGGGTGCCACATGAAATTCTTTTGGAATGATTATAGGTTCTTCATGTTTGTATAAAGCTCAGTGTAGAGGAGAGTGTATTATCTTGTGAATAACTGTAGCCAGTTATATAAACTGTTCTCATGTATTTAATTAAATGAGTCTTAGTTTTAACTTCCTCTAATTACCCTATCTACAGTGCCAACATACACTTGGGCTGTAGATTTTGTTCCTACAGTGAAGTTACCTTATGTCTATGACTTTTTAGGGTGTTTTATTTACCTGGTATGTGAGCAAAGAATGGGAGGAAGTTACATGTCAGAAGCAAGAATTTTATATTATTTTTCTCGAACCAAAACTATAATTTTCAGTTTTAGAAAAAAATAACAATAAATTCTCGCCTCTCATTTAGTTCTCATTCTGGCCACTTTCTTTGGAGGCACCAGATGTGTTGGGACATATTCCATGCCATGTTCTATTATTGTCATCTAATAAAGCATAGAAATGAGATGAAGAGGATGTGAAAGAATGTTTGAACATAGTCAATGATTTTCCAGTTGTGATTCAACTTGCAGACAAATAATGAGCATGGTGATGAAGCCAGAACAGGAGCTAACCAAAATGAATGTGACAAAGATAGTGTCCATGAATCCAGGTAAAAAGTCACCTAACCTAACCTACGTGCATCATACATAAATTGTGTTGTCAGTATGTGAAAGTCATGTATTGTCAGTTAATAACTTTTAAAATATTTTTAGTTTTATTACCTAAAATGTGACTTTTTTACCTAGCCAAAACTGTGACTTTATTACCGTTCACCAGTGTCCATATATCCGTGTACAGTATTATTAGCCTAACAGAAGAACTCGTTTTATTTTTACTCTGTAGTCCAGTGTTAGTAGTGTTATTACAGGAAGAAACCGGAATACCCGTAGGAAACCTGTACTGTTTGGTTGGGGCACCGGATAATATCTCCGAACATGTGTCCGGGCCTGTACACAAACGCACGACACAAGGTGAGTGGTACACGTCGGCGGTCTACCACCAAAAGAACTTCATCAGTGACAGTCCTGTGGGTAAGCAAAATAATTGTTCAAACATTGAAGAAATCGCCAAAATTGGTGGATTAATAGATTTTGTATGGGGAATCATATAATATCTGGACCCCAACTGTGTATAGCCTATGATAGCAGCCATTTTGGATTTAAAAATGGTTGCCACCTAAATCTGTTATTTTCAATATCTTAGACATCAATCTATGAGTCGAAATTTACGTATTTATGACCATAATATACATTGACACAAATTAAAATTATCTGTGATGATTGCAGCCATCATAGATTTGACAGTGGTTGCTACCTAACTGTTATTATCAATATCTTGGCCTCTAATTCACACATTTCATCAATCTTTGAGTCTCAGTATTTATGTTTTCTTGTTAATAACGTATGCTGACACAATTTGCTGAGTACAATATAGTTATGGATGTCAGCCATCTTGAATATATATATATAGAGAGAGAGAGATAAAATCACACGGGGAAAAGGGAAACAACGGAGCACCTTGGCTTTCGTCTTTATTCAAGACATCTTCAGAGGCAACTGGATTATATGGATAGAGAGGCTTAACTATACAGGGTGACCTTATTAAACATGAGGTTAGGTCATAATGATGTCATCCACTAATCCCCACACCAACACACGTAGAGGAGCTTAAGAGAAAGTGGGCGACGTGACTAGTCAGGTCAGGTCAGGTAAAAAATAAGGGGTCCACTAAATAACTATCCTACATCTAGCTCCAAGGTTTTCAAGGCATTTTTAACCTTGGGCCGCTGACAAATAAATTTATGTAACATCAGTTTTGTACTGACCATCACTAAGGTTTATTGATTTTCCTTAATCAAACTAGCTTCAACCAGAAGTCTTTCTGTGACGAAGATGATTTGAATACTTCTAAGCTTTTTCCCAAGCAATGGGATGATTATTATTCCTAACATAACGAACAAGGCACTGCTTTCAGGTGCTGTTCTGATATTGTACTTATGTTGTTTGATTCTGAGTTGCAATGTTTTTCCTGTCTGTCCTACATAATTTGCTACATGTAATACAATAAACACTTCCATTTACATTCAAAGTTGGGCTATTTTTTATTAACATATTGGTAATAGTTGAGTCATACTTGAAAACAACATTAATATTTAGTAATTTAAGAGACCGAATTAACGTGACAAATTCATTGCGATAAGGCAGTCAAAATATTCTTAAGTGTAGGAATTTGCCTGGTTGAGTAGAATGAAAGGATTTTTTAGCCCTTTTAAAACAATGATCAAACACAGAAGGGTACCCAAGTTTTTGTGCAATGGAACGAATGTTTCAATTCTTCATCAATAAATTCAGCGTCACACACACACACACATATAAGAACAAAAGAAAATAAGGAGTCTGCAATAGGCCGGTTGGCCTGTGCATGGCAGTTCCTGTCGAGAGTTACTAACACTCTATCATCCATGAATCTATCTAGCCTCCTTTTGAAACTTTCCAGAGTTCCCGCACTTACTACAAAGTTGCTAAGCTTGTTCCACTCGTCCACCACCCTATTTGTGAACCAGTTTCTTCCTATCTCCCTCCTAAACCTAAACTTATCCAACTTGAATCCGTTGGTCCGAGTCCTATCCTGCTCGGATATTATAAGAACTTTATCTATATCCCCTTTATTGATTCCTTTCACCCACTTAAATACTTCTATCATATCTCCCCGCACTCTTCGTCTTTCTAGGGAATGCAAGTTTAGTTTATTTAACCTATCTTGATATGAAAGGTTTCTAAGTCCCGGAATCATTTCTGTCATTCTTCGCTGCACCGACTCTAGTGAATTTATATCCATTCTATAATAGGTGCACCAGAACTGAACCACATAATCGAGGTGCGGCCTGACTAGCGCAAGATATAGTTGCAATAAGACCTCTGCACTCTTGTTACTTACACTTCTAGATATAAAACCCAATACTCTGTTTGCCTTATTTCGAACATTAACGCACTGTTTTCTAGGCCGTAGGTCCGGGCTTACAAATACCCCTAGGTCTCTTTCACAAGTCGACTTCTCTAGGTTGATGTTGTTAAGGCTGTATACATTATAAGTATTTGTTCTTCCAATATTAAGTACGCTGCACTTGCTGATGTTGAATTTCATTTGCCATTTTTCAGACCACCCCTGCAGTTTATTTAGATCCTCCTGTAATGCATTTGCATCCTGCCCTGAATATATATATATATATATATATATATATATATATATATATATATATATATATATATATATATATATATATATATATATATATATATATATATAATAAGGAAAGAAAGAAACAGTCTGTACTGTACTCACCCTGAAGATGTGAATTACACGAAAGCGCTTGGGAACTTCGTGTTTTCTTTCCTTGGGTTATCATATATATATATATATATATATATATATATATATATATATATATATATATATATATATATATATATATATATATATATGTGTGTGTGTGTGTGTATATAGTGACGCTGAATTTATTGATGAAGAATTGAAACATTCTTTCCATTGCACAAAAACTTGGGTACCCTTCTGTGTTTGTTGATCAGTGTTTTAAAAGGGCTAATGAACCCTGCAGTGGATGAATTGCCCTGGGCCCCGCACGCCCCAAGGGACGGATCTGTGTGTGTGTGTGCGTGTGTGTCCTTTCTTGACCTTCTTCCTGAATTTTTTAGATCGTTGTGCCCAACTTCTGGCAACTTGACCAACCCGAGACTAATCATTGGTGGGGGGTGACTACCACTCCGTAGACACCAACTGTTACCTTAAAAAATAACTGTACTAATGTCACTCTTTCTCATAACAAGGACTATAAAAAAAAGCATATTATATTTTCTGTATTTATTTATATAAGGGCCTTTTTATCCATAAAACTCTCGGAAAATAATCATCCTTTGGGTTTGTGGCCCTAGAAGTTTTAAGTACAAGTTAACAGCGAACCCTTTCACCATAACTCCTGCGAATAGTGTTTATTATTGTTTTGGTATACAGTGAAACCTCTATTTAACGGACTACAGGGAGAGAAAACTCCCTTATATTGGTGGTATATTAGAGTTGAAACCTCCAATTAACGAACCATATAGAGATGAAAGTCCGTTATATCGAGGGCCTGTTAGATGTGAAACCTCCATCTAACAAACTATATAGTGATGAAAGTCGGTTATATCGAGGGTGTATTAGATTTGAAGCCCACTAATGGATTATATGGAGAAAGAAGTCCGTTTTATCTAGGTTTCACTGTACATGTAGTGAAGGGTGGTTGAGTGTATGAAAGTCAGATTTCTCGTTTAGGTTCAACTGTGTATGGCAGTTTGGCAAGTCCTTAATAAAGTCATATGCCAGGCTTGTCTTTAAGAGGAGGGACGATATAATGATGAGAGCTGAGGACAAAGTAGGAATGAATGCTAATCTACCTATAGTTCTTCACACCAGGTAGAACACACAACATTTCGTACAGAAGGTGGGCGCCTGTAGCAGCAGTCGTACCCTCGAAGTCATAAGGCGGAGATACCTGATAGGAAGGCAAAATCACCTTCAGTTAAATAATTATTTGGCTTAAAAATTACAGCAAATCTCTAAATTATGATTTTAATTTATTATTATACACCTTCCACCCTATCACTCTCCCTCTCGCATTCTAGTTGTTACGTGTCTTGATTACTGTAGGTTAGGTTAGGTTATCCAGGTGATATATCCACACATTTTGAACTATGAAGCTGAAATTTGGACACAATAGCGACCAAGGAAGGCATTTTTTTCTCTCATATTGGGTTCATATTTTACACTACTCTTCCTCCCCCTATTCTGTGCGGTTCTGTGTACAGTAATCGTTATTGATTATGTCAAGTTATTGATTATGTCAAGTTATTTATTATGACAAGTTATTGATTATGGTAAGTTATTGATTATGACAAGTTATTGATTATGACAAGTTATTGATTATGACAAGTTATTGATTATGGCAAGTTATTGATTATGGCAGGTTATTGATTATGGCAAGTTATTGATTATGGCAAGTTATTGATTATGGCAAGTTACTAATTATGGCAAGTTATTGATTATGGCAAGCTATTGATTATGTCAAGTTATTGATAATGACAAGTTATTGATTATGTCAAGTTATTGATTATGACAAGTTATTGATTGTCAAGTTATTGATAATGAAAAGCTATTGATTATGTCAAGTTATTGATTATGTCAAGTTATTGATTATGCCAAGTTATTGATTGTCAAGTTATTGATTGTCAAGTTATTGATAATGAAAAATTGTTGATTATGTCAAGTTATTGATAATGACAAGTTATTGATTATGACAAGTTACTGATTATGGTAAGTCATTGGTTATGGCAAGTTATTGATTATGTCAAGTTATTGATAATTACAATTTATTGATTATGTCAAGTTATTGGTTATGTCAAGTTATTGATAATGATAAGTTATTGATTATGGCAATTTATTGATAATGAAAAGTTATTGATAATGCCGTTAAGCTGATCTCATTGCTTATGGCTACTCATAAACCTATTGGCAATAACTAAAACCAATGGATAATACTGACGCTCAGCACTCGTGTCCGTGATCCATCGATTGCCAATAGCTCAGTCAAACCTATGGTAGTCATGACTCGACCAAAAGTGGAAATATTGTGGCTGTTTTAATCGCATAAATTTCCAGAAGAGCATCAAGCGCCTGTATAGGCTAGTTATACTGATGATAATGCTGAAGCGAAAGTTGTAAATTTCCTTCGATTATGGCGGAAACAGATGTATTGGTTAGTTGCGTTGGCGAAGAACCCATGGTGGATAGTGAAAAATGGCCATGTGTTGTGTAAAAGATAGATATTGACTACAACTCGGTACTGTAATGTCTAGTGTGTGGAAGGTGGGTAAGCATGAGGTGCTGTGGTGTAGATGGTAGACCGTAAGATGTGTCTGACTTTAAGTGTTCTGCATGTGCAGGTAGCCATATGGCCTTAGCAACGTTAAACTAACGCAACAGTGGGGATATGTCCTTGGACTTTGTCTATGTGATAAGTGCTTGGCATCAGTTATCACAGACAAGTAGTAAATATATCCTCCTTAACCAATCAATGACCAATAAGATAACTCCACTATCGTTCCCAATTGCTTGAGGAAAAGGAGAGGAAAAGGGGGAGCAAAACAAATAGATAAAACCTCCTAACCTGACTGTAACATCACTTAGTTTAGACAATAACGAAAGGCTTTTGTGTGAAAATAGAATAATTATAGAAAAAACCCGACAGTAATTGGTAGGTTTCCGGACACCAAATTTCTAATACTGTATCATGATAGAACATTCATTAAGAGATGGTTTAAAATTTGATAAACTCTGGAGTCATAATAAGCAAATTGGGTTCTGTAGCCGACACCTATGACTTACCTCAACCAAGTCGCAGCCGACTAAATTGAGGCCCCAACATCCACGGACGATTTCCAGGGCTTGTATCGACGTCAAGCCTCCTATTTCAGGTGTACCTATGGGGAGAAAATAATTGTTGGTACATGGACAGATACCTTTGTTGCTTAGGGTGAGCTACTGGTACATGGACAGGTACCTTTGTTGCTTAGGGTGAGCTACTGGTACATGGACAGGTACCTTTGTTGCTTAGGGTGAGCTACTGGTACATGGACAGATACCTTTGTTGCTTAGGGTGAGCTACTGGTACATGGACAGGTACCTTTGTTGCTTAGGGTGAGCTACTGGTACATGGACAGGTACTTTTGTTGCTTAGGGTGAGCTAGTACATGGACAGATACCTTGTTGCTTAGGGTGAGCTACATGGACAGATATGGTGAGGTAGTGTGGACAGGTACCTTTGTTGCTTAGGGTGAGCTAGTGGTACATGGACAGATACCTTTGTTGCTTAGGGTGAGCTAGTGTTACATGGACAGATACCTTTGTTGCTTATGGTGAGCTAGTGTTACATGGACAGGTACTTTTGTTGCTTAGGGTGAGCTAGTGGTACATGGACAGATACCTTTGTTGCTTATGGTGAGCTAGTGTTACATGGACAGGTACTTTTGTTGCTTAGGGTGAGCTAGTGGTACATGGACAGGTACCTTTGTTGCTTAGGGTGAGCTAGTGTTACATGGACAGGTACTTTTGTTGCTTAGGGTGAGCTAGTGGTACATGGACAGGTACTTTTGTTGCTTAGGGTGAGCTTGTGTTACATGGACAGGTACTTTTGTTGCTTAGGGTGAGCTAGTGGTACATGGACAGGTACTTTTGTTGCTTAGGGTGAGCTAGTGTTACGTGGACAGGTTTGTGGTACTCGGGGTGGACAGGTATTTTTGACACACGAGGGGAAGAAATTATTATATTTGCTACAATCCATTACAAAGACACCACTGGAAAAAAATATATATATATATATATATATATATATATATATATATATATATATATATATATATATATATATATATATATATATATATATATATATATATATATATATATTAACAAACATAAGTATGACCCCTCTAAGTCGGAATTTTGGATAAGTCGGGCAGCCTTGAGGTCTTATATAGTCCGACTAAAGGAGATCCTTCTTAGGATAAGAATGTATTGTATATTAAATGAGTTGTAAAAGATGAAATAAAATAAACGGTTAGATGTCATTCTTTGTTGAATATTACAGTATCTCTCAGTAAGCATCACAATTGATTTTACCTCCAAATTTAATACAAGTCTATAAAACATTGAGACAACTTATTTTCTTGTTTCTTCTTGTTCTAACTTTGTTAAACACGATTTGCCTTGATTTTCTATCTGTCTGTCTATGTAATTTTCTGTGTCATTTTACTTGTGTGTTGTTTTCTCTATCTATGCTTTAATAAATATATCTCTTATTATTCATGTATAGCATCACTCGATCAATCAAACTCATTCACTCGCACACTCTCTCACTCAACCACTCAAACTCACTCACTCACTCATCCATTCCCTCAAACTCACTCACTCCTTACTCACCTGTGCCCGGGCAGAAAGCAGGGTCGATAGCATCAATATCAAAGGAGAGATAGACTGGACCCTCCCCCATCTGCTCCCTCACCTCGACCATCAGCGGGGCCAAAGATTTGTACCAACACTCTTCGGCCCCTACCACACGGAACCCCTACCACAACAACCACACACTTTATATTTAGTTTTGTTCACATCTGCTTGAGGGATATACTGCCAGAGTGTGGCCATATGTCTGACCACACACTTTGCATTTAGTTTTGTTCACATCTGTTTGAAGGATATACTGCCAGAGTTAGCTAAGGTTAGGATAGGTTAGGTTAGGAGTTAAGATTTGTTCACTTTATTATCCAAACACTTGGGCCTGAATTCAGAACGCTGGTTTGAAACGGCATTAAGGCTTAAAACAAGGATCAAGCTAAGATTGAAGATTGTTGGTATTCAGAATGCTGATTTGAGCCAACACAAAGATCCAAACCGGGTTTGAGATCGTATTTGTCAATCCTCGCGTTAATCCAGCCCGGATGTTGTTGTTGAGATTGTCGGACCGTAGTCCGACACGGGCCTTTGCCTATACGGCCCAGCCCGGAGGCAGGTTTAGGGGTCGATCTGACATTCAGGACAGCAAGTCAACGTGAATTTTAACAGAGTGCTTTTCGGCGATAGTGTCAGATTGGAAATTTTGTAGAGAGAAGACTAATGGTATATAGACAGAATCCGAAAATTTTGTATGATGACACGCAATTCAGATAACGATATAGGTTCAGCAAGGGAGATTTCCTTGATATGGAGCATCTACTTGACAGACCTGTTGGCTATGGTTCACCTCTACCTCCCATTCATCAGCGGATGATTGCTTTAAGATTCTTCGCAACGAATAGTTTCCGGGTAAGAAAGATTCTGGTTACTGAATGAGTTATGGTAATGTGTTACAACACTTTTGTGTTTAGGGTCCATGAAGATCAAGCGGGTAAATGTAAAGAACGCTCACGCTTCTTTATTTTAAGTGTTTTTCTGTAGGAAACTAGTTTGATGTATTTTCAATATAATTGAATCAATGCGGAGTGCATTTTGATTTTGATGTATTAATGAAGGAAAGTCTTTTCTTAACATTACTAATCAGGGGAAATGTGGGGTTAAAAGAACAGAAAGAAACCGAACCTAGCCAGTTTACTACGCCCTGCATTGGTTCATCATGCTGTGGGTATAAATATTGACACCTGTCCCAGATTATATCTACAATTTGTATGTAACTTTTTCCTCTATGAATTTCTTTATCACATGATAACACAGCCAAGTTGTAACACAGCACCATAAATCATTATAATTTGATGGTAATTTAATAACAAAATTAACTTATAACGTGCAAGGAGAGATTTCTCCTCCGTAAAAACTCGTCGAGTCATAGTTGCCGCCATAATCTTGTAAAAATTACTCTCGTTGGTGATTGGTTGTCAAAGTGATGTAACTGAAACGTTCAGTGTTCGAATCCTTGCTCATAACTGAAGAAAATGCATCAGATTACTCGATCCAGGGTTCAAGCCAATGTTCTGAATATGGGTAATCCATTGCAGGAAATCTTGGGTCGAGGAATCCCGATTCACACACCTGAGCCGAGCTCAAATCCCAGGCCCAGACCACCGTTTTGAATTCGGGCCTTGAAGTCATGAACCCCATCAACAAATTATCTTAGATCCGTCGGTTCATTTTTTCTCTTTGGTCCGCTATCATGCCTAAATGCCACTAATTTTTAGACCTTCGGAATAAATCTAATCACATCTATAATTATACAAGACGACAGTTAACAGTTATTATCACAGTCAATTAACAGTTAACACTCACTGGAAGTTATCTTCATTAAATCACTAAAAACACATCAAGTTCAGCTTTCTCGCCTATCTCAAACTGTTGCAACCTTGTTATAACCAAGCTTTAATTCTTGTTATAACCAAGCTTAAGTTCCTGGAAAACTAAGTTTTAATACCTGTTATAAGCAAGCTTTAATTACCGTTATAACCCAGCGTTTACTTCTTTGTTATAACTAAACTTTAATTCCTGTTATAACGAAGCTCTAGTTCCTGTTATAATCAAGCTTTAATTCCTGTTATAAACAAGCTTTAAAACCTGTTATATCAAGCTTTAATACCACTTATGAGCAGGGTTTAATCTGTTATAACTAAGCTTTAATTCCTGTTATAACCAAACTTAATTCCTGTTATAACCAAGCATTAATACCTGTTAAAACCAAGCATTAAATCCTGTCATAACTAAGCTTTAATTCCTGTTATAACTAAGCTTTAATTCCTGTTATAATCAAACTTTAATACTTGTTATACCCAAGCTTTAAGTCTTGTTATAAACCAAGCTTTAACTCCTGTAATAACCAAGCGTTAATTCTTTTTATAACCAAGCATTAATACTTGTTATAATCAAGCTTTAAATCCCTTTACAATTAAGCTTTAATTTATGTTATAACCAAGCTTTAATACCTGTTATAACCAACCTTTAATTCCTGTTATAGCCAACCTTTAATTCCTGTTATAGCCAACCTTTAATTCCTGTTATAGCCAACCTTTAATTCCTGTTATAACTACAACTGTTACTACTAGTTTAGCCATAAGTGTCACGATCCCAGTCTAGCCATGTCACTGTCCTGGTCCACACATCTCACTGTCCTAGTCTAGCCATATGGGTCACGATCTAATCTAACCATGTCTGTTCTAGTCTCCCCATAAGTGTCACGATCCTATTCTAACCATGTCACTGCCCTAATCTACCCATGTTACTGTCCTATTCTAGCCATAAGTGTCACGATCCTAATCTAACCATGCCACTGTCCTAGTCTAGCCATGTCATTGTTCTAAAAAACAGCGAGTAAGCATGAACGGCACTAACTCCGATTGGGGAACGTCACGAGTGGAGTACCCCAAGGCTCTGTACTTGGACCATTACTCTTTATGATATACTTAAGTGACATAAATATCGGCGTAGACAGCAACATAAGTAAATTTGCTGACGACACTAAAATAGGGCGTGTAATTAAAGCCGAGGAGGACTCTGCAAAACTATAGGAAGATCTAAACAAATTTTTCGCATGGTCTAAAAAATGGCAGATGAAATTCAACGTGGACAAATGTAAAGTACTCAGTATAGGAGATGTAAACAGGGAAACCAGATACCAGATGAACAACGATGCCATAGAGAAATCCGACTGCGAGAGAGATTTAGGAGTAATGATAAGCAGGACCCTTAAGCCAAGTAAACAATGTGTTTTTGTTCGTAACAAGGCTAATAAAGTACTTGGGTTCATACAAAGGAGTGTTAGTTACAAGACTATCGAGGTGATCCTAAAACTGTATCTTGCTCTTGTGAGACCACACCTGGATTATGCAGTTCAGTTCTGGTCACCGTATTACAGAATGGATATAGAATCATTGGAAAGAATTCAGAGGAGAATGACAAGACTAATCCCGGGCATAAGGAATCTTGAGTACAGAGACAGGTTAAAGCAGCTTAATTTGCACTACCTCGAGAGACGTAGAGTGAGGGGCGATATGATCGAGGTATAAAAGTGGAAGTCAGGGTTAAACAAATGTGATAGAACAAAGGTACGCTACCTATCCAACCAGGAGCGAACTTGTAGAAATGGTTATAAATTAGACATTTAGAATTAGGTGCGATATAGGTAAACATTGCTTTGCAAATAGAGTAGTGGATGAGTGGAACAAGTTACCAAACATCATCATTAACTCGAATACGCTGGATAGCTTCAAATATCAAATATAGGTTGGATGGATATATGAGCGATGGGGGTTGGGTGTAAATGAGACTGCTCAGTATGGGCCAATAGGCCCGTTGCAGTTTCCTCTATTCTTATGCTCTTAGGTCACTGTCATAAGCTAGCCATAAACATCACGATCCTATTCTAGCCATGTCACTGTTCTTGTTTAGCCATAAGTGTCACGACCCTAGTCTAGCCGTGGCACTATACTAGTCTCCCCATAAGTGTCACGATCCTATTCTAACCATGTCATTGCCCTAGTCTACCCATGTTACTGTTCTAGTTCCCCATAAGTTTCAAGATTCTATTCAACTTACCATACTCCTGCCAATGTTACAGTCGTCAGCAGTGAGAGCTGTCCCCCTCAACCCTATTTGGATGACCCGGGTGCAGTCCAGAAGCCCCTCATCGTAGGCACGTTTGAAGGGTGTACCGTGGGCTATTTTGCTCCCTAAAACCTCATCCTGCAAGTCCGGGTGGGCGTCTACGTGCACTAATCCCACGGGCCCGTACTTTTCCTGTAAACACATGTGAATTTATTACATCCGTATCCCATCTACTAAACCCCTTTATTACTGTGATGCCATTTTTACTATTTAATTTACTCAACACCAGATGATTTTTTGCAGCTCAGAGGGGACACCGTATATACACAAGGGGTTAGTAGACACTCTCCTCAAGTTCGTCGTAGTTACCCGTGAGTGGATCATTCTCTGGTGAATTTCTCATGTGAATGATAAAAAATTAATTTATAAGTGAAGTGGTTAGTTCGACAGGAAAGAATTCGTGCATATTTGGGTTATTGTCAGCCAGAATGATTCACTCACTGAAATAAAGATTATATGTGATTATGTCTGAATGAATAGTGTATATTGAGTAGGTTATTTTAATTACTTGAATAATTGACATCTTTAACCCCTTGAATTCGATGACTTTACCCTCTGAGTGTGTTTACCTAACCCCTTGAGTTTGATAACTTAATTACTTGATTACGATGACTTAACCCCGTGAGTACGATGATTTAACCCTTTGAGTATTATAACTTAACCCCTTGAGTACGAAAACATACAGTATGTCGAGGGTTTAGATATAAACGCCCTCTGGTTCTTTTAAAGATTACTGTCAGGTGGAACACTTTCGCTTTCACCAAGGCTATTGAACAAGTTTATGGACAATTGTAACAAAAGATGTCTATTTACACGTATTTACACTGATAATCGGCATGAAGACAGTACAGAGCAACATAAACATATGTGGCATGGAAGTGCCGGACTGCCGGCTGGAACAAATGTCGGGAGTGTAGACACTAGATGTCAAGCGTGGGGTCTTGTGTATACATACGACACAGGTGATAAATTGTCGTCTTCTCAACAACTTCACAGGAGATCGAGTATCCACCTAACCGGCACAGGTACTTGGTAATGGACCCGGGAGGAACAGCACAGAGGCTAGGGCTGGCAGTGTCCTAGCTGGCGTGCTGACTGCTGACATACAAGGAGGTAGTAGCTGACCAACTGGGTCAGAGGAAGAGAGCCAAGTGACCAGCCATACGGTTACACCCGCACTATAAATCGGTTCGAATTGCCCAACGAACCCACCAACATTAAACAACACAGTTCCAGCAATCATTCGACTTGAGTACAAACCCCTTACACACTAAAGGGGTTAGGTTATCATACTTAAGGGGTTAAGTCATCGTACTAAGTCATTGTATTCTAGAGGATTAAGTCATCGTACTTAAGGGGTTAAATCATCGTACTCAATGGGTCAAATCATCGTACTCAAGGGGTTATCATTATACTCAAGGGGTTATCATTATACTCAAGGGGTTAAAATCATCGTACTAAGGGGTTAAATCAACGTACTCAAGGGGTTAAATCATCGTACTCAAGGAGTTAAATCATTTTACTCAAGGGGTCAAATCATCGTATTCAAGGGGTTGTCATTTTACGCAAGGGGTTATCATTATACTCAAGGGGTTAGATCAACGTACTCAAGGGGTTAGATCGTCATACTCAGGGGGCTGAGGGTTACCTTGATAGCCTGCAGGATGGGGTAGGAGATGGTATGGTCGCCGCCCATAGTAAGAGGCACACAGCCATTACTGATGAGATCACGAAACTGGTCTCTGATGTTCCGACAAGCTTCTGGCAGACTGGGGAAGATGATCTGTGGTTAATTATCTTCTTTGTCATGGATGTTGTCATTTACCCCACACTTGATTCAATCTGTCATGGATGTTGTCATTTATTACATCTGAGACAAGGGGAACATGAACACATTATCTAATCACTGGTATAAAAGGTCACTGTGTGACCCGCACTTCACTCTATCACCTTCACTTCCTTAACTATAATATTGGCCACTGATATAAAGGTTGGTGGAATGAGGATACCCTGGGTTTGATTCAGCCCTATACCACTCAGCCACCTCGTCTCTGTTGACATGCATTATTCAGTCTATTTCATTCTATCAAGTACGTTGTCATCTACCATAAATAGTAATAAAGCTATCATATAATTACGTTATTATCTACAACATACAGAACTTTGCCTGTTATAGTTTCTGTCATTTAACTTAAGCAGAACTCAGTATCTCACGGTATACTACATCAACCACAAGCTGGAGATAATATCACGGATATTGTAGTCTTTAAGAACAGGTGGTGAGGATAGGGAGTCAGTGATGATAAGTTTGTCTGTGGCATGTTTAAGAGCTGCGAATTAGTTCATTTTTAAGAGTATTATGCCCAGTGTAATGAAATTCAAGAGTCCCCGTCCAAAATCTGTAATAAAGGTGTAAGATTCCCACCTAGTGAAACAAAATGCCACACAGCCTCCCTCCCAGTCATACCCGAACGTGTCAATCTGCGTCTCACTGGCATACATAACACTGACACTTTCATTAGGTTAATTTAGGTTAGGTGGGATATTGCATCATTTGTGTAGGTTCTTACTTGTAGAGGTTGACCCACACGTCCCCAACATCGGCTACGTTGAGACATTCGAAGGGGTTGGCGCCGGTGCCCTGATTGAAGGGTCTCATAGGTGATTCACAGCGCATCTGGCGAGGCCCATAACGCGAGCCGGCCCTGTTAGAGGTACCAGTATCCAGAGGCACACCCACAAAACACGCGTCCAGACCTATATTAAGTATCATAACACTATTATTAGCCTTCTGATATTAATTTCACCGCTAAAATATTTCTTAATTTGGATTAGCATCAACTGACATCACTCTTAAGGTTACATGATATTATTAAATCATTCTAAACACTTTCAAGATACCAAATTAGTAGTTAAGAAGATTATTACAGCTATAAGTTGTATTGCAGCATATGTAGGTATTCTCGAAACATCAATATGATGATAAGATTATGACAATTACTAATGATTTTTGGTGAAGAGAGCAACATTAAGAAAGGCGGCGTAACTGATAACACAGTATCTTCACAGAGGGGTCCGATGAATTTCAAAGTGAACACTGCAACTCTTATTGTCTTGGTGGGGTTATCAAAATTCTTCGTCCATTGTGTCATATTGTCTAACACAAAATCGTAAAGATACACCTCATGCTCACCTTCAGTCCCGGTCTGTACTGGGAGCCGCATGAACGAAGCTATTCCACCTGGTCGAGGCATCTGCGTCGCTGTCAACGGCTGGTTTAGTTTCCTCTCTGCTGGCGTGGCAACTGTCATATGAAGGCTTCGAACACCCCATCTCCTCACAGCCACACCTCCCAACACCACACGAGCTCCTCCACACACCGTCTTCAACATTGCTTACTTCAGGGAACTGTGGGAATTTGTTTACTAGAGGTGTGGGTATTTGTTTACTAGAGGTGTGGGGATTTGTTTACTGTAGAGAGCTGTGGGGATTTGTTTGCTGTAGAGAGCTGTGGGAATTTGTTTGCTGTAGAGAGCTGTGGGAATTTGTTTGCTGTAGAGAGTTGTGGGGATTTGCTTACTAGAGCTGTGGGGATTTATTTACTAGAGCTGTGGGGATTTGTTTACTGGAGTTGAGGGGATTTGTTTACTAGAGCTGTGGAGAATTGTTTACTGTAGAGAGCTGTGGGGATTTTGTTACATTAAATAAGGATAATTGACAATTAAGGCATAAAAAGCAACTGAAGTTTTTGTTGAATGAGGATAAGTTTTTGTTTTTATTGGTATGACTAAACGGAAATTAATTGGTATATGGTAAAAAACATATTAGGCAGGCAGACAAGTTCAAGGGTTCATGGCAACAACCACAATCCAAACACTAGCATTTGTTGACTACATCATTGTCAGACAAAGAGATATCCGATATGTCCTCATCACCCGACCCATGCATGTCTCTGACCACTGCGACACTGATCATCGGCTTGTCAGAGCCAAGCTCTCACTTCGCGTCGCCCCAACAAGCCTTCAGAAGAGGTTTTAACACTAAGCGTCTGCAGGAACCAGCGGTAGCACATGCTTTCAGAGAGCAGCTCGAACATGGGCTGATAAACAACCCGACAATAAACAACCCAAATCCCAGTGCCGAATGGAATATTCTCGACACTGTCATTACAAAAACCTGCAGAGACCCTCGGCCAGATCGAAAGAATACACCAGGACTGGTTTGATGAAAATGACCCGGAAATCAATGTACTCGTCAATGATAAACGTGCTGCCTTAACTGACTGGCTGAACAACCCACAGTCTCGGACCAAAGCTGATACCTTTTGCAAGAAGAAAGCGGCGGCCCAGCGCAAATTTCGCAATCTAAAAAACGACTGGTTTAAAAATAAAGCATGTGAAAAGTAAAAAAAAAAAAAAAATTGCAGATCAACATAAGATGCGCGAAATTTTCAATTCCACGAAAACGTTTTATGGGCCAATCACTCATGGCGCCGTTCCCCTACGCTCATCCGACGGTAACTTCTTAATTAAAGACGAAGAAGACGAAGAAGGGCCCTATCATTCGCTATTCAACCGAAACACCGATGTGGATGTGCTGACTACCCAGCAGGTCCCTCAGCATCCAGAGCCGACCCATCTCGGTTATCCTTCATCCCTGGATGAAGTAGCTACTGTCATCAAACAAATGAAAAATAACGAAGCCTGGTGGAATCCCATGCTGGGTGTATATGGCCAGGATGACCTCTGCTTACCAGCCGTCTACACTCTCTCCTGGAGAATACAGTATATGGGAAAAGGAGGAAATCCCCCAAGCTCTTAAAGACGCCTCCCTTGTCAATATTTATAACAGTGGTTCTCAACCTTGTTTTGCCCCATGCACCCCTTTCACCATTTGTCAGAATGTCATTTCCCCCCTCCTTTTCAAGATTGTCTGCCTCAAAAAGTGCATTCCAAATAATATGCATATAATACTGAAAATCCTTTATTTTTTCCATATTAGTACATATACATTTACAATTTTACATGGATTATTTTTATAGTGGAGTTTTACAAATTAAATGCCAATTGAAAATGTTGATGGATTTATAAAACTTGAATAAAAGTAAAATAGTTTTTTTTTATTTATAATGAATTACTTAACAGACCAAACTGAAGCATAATGCAATAAACAAAAAGTTCAATAGAATACCAGGATATTGTAAATTTGTAATTAATTTTATTCAGATGAAGATTACAGTCAATGAGAAACCTGTGATTGTTTTTTCTTCGCCAATTCTGGGATACGCGGAGGAGTGCTTGAAAGGGCACAACGCAGGTCATTTTCTGCCTCTAATCTACTACGTTGCTTCGTTTTAATTTGCAACAGAGTTGAAAAGCCTGACTCACAAAGATATGTCGACACAAACGGAAGCAATGCACGGATAGCTCTTTCTGCCACTTTTGGGTAGGAATCGCACATCAAGGGCCAAAATTCTGTGATTGATTTCTCATCAAACATATCTCTTGCTCCCGAATCAGTTTTCCCCCCCCTGAAAACCTGAATTCCCCCCCTGGGGGGAATTCCCCCCTGATTTATAAGAACAGGGGAGACCGGTCAGACTGTGGCAACTACCGCGAGATGTCGATGCTGTCCATAGCTGACAAGATTATCTCCCGAGTCCACCTAAACAGACTTCTTCCCGAGACGGAAATCTTGCTCCCAGAATCTCAAAGTGGCTTTAGACCATCATGTGGCACCACGGACATGATCTTTGCTGCCCCTCGGATACAGGAAAAGTGCAAAGAACAGCGTCGTAAACTGTATATGGCCTTCATCGACCTAACCAAGGCCTTTGACTCGGTTAACAGCAAAGACCTCTGGTGGACCCTCTGCCGTTTTGGCTGCCCCAAAAAATTCATCGCCATTGTGAGGGAACTCCACGATGCCAAGAACGGCATTATCCTGCACAATGGCACCCAGTCAAAGTTCTTCCCCATCCAAACGAGGGTAAAACAAGGATGTGTATTGCCTAGTACATTTCTCCCTGTTTGGTAGTAGGCAGCTACCAAACAGGGAGGTACTACCGCCAAGAAAGATATTGGAAACATAATGTGTTGTCTAATGGTAGACCCTGCTGCCATATGGCACCACAAAAAATGTGACCAAGTCCCAGGTTGCTGATTTGCCTTTCTGCCTCATTTACACACAATTGCAGTTCTCAATTGTCTCTCTTACTATTGATAACACAACATACTCGTATATACCCGTACTCACTCTTGATCTGCTCTATTTTTTCTATTCCTTTATTCACCTATAATATCAGCTGACATTAATATTAAAGCGGGGCTTTCTGGGAAGGGTCCCACTGGTCTGGAAGGTTGTGGACCCCAGGGCCGACCTGATCATCATCAAACTACTGGGACCTCAACTGACGCCACCGCGGTTGCTGGAAGATCGGCTTTTTTCACACTTCATTCTTCCAACATTCGCGGCTTGAGATCCAATTTTCCTTCTGTGGAGCACCATCTATTAACCACTTCCACCGACCTCTTACTGCTATCTGAATTTCAACTGACCAAAGCCGTTTCACCCAAACTATTTCAAGTCTCCAACTACAACCTTTAAACCTCTTTCCGTTCTAAGGGAGGTGTATGCGCCTACTGCAACACACGTACACCTATAGCTCGACTCACGGATCTTGAATCTTTTCTTTATGATGTCATCTGGCTCAAAATATCTCTACCAACTCGGCTCCAACTTGCTCACCACCGCGGACATCGATAATAAGATTCACCATCGGATCAAATGTGCATCTCAAGCCTTTAGCAGACTCCCTACCCGTGTCTTTAGCTGTAGGGAGCTAAAATTATCTACAAAGTTGCTCGTGTACCGAGCAGTAGTCCTCCCCACCCTGCTATATGGCAGTGAGACATGGGTCACGTACAGGAGACACCACAAGGCACTTGAAAACTTTCACCAACGTAGTCTACGTTCCATCCTCCGAGTTCGCTGGGAAGATAAGAGAACAAATGCCGATATACTAGCGGACACTAACTGTAGGAGCATCGAGGCTAGAAAAAGCCATGAACAACTACGTTGGACTGGTCGTGTTACCCGCATTGGACAACAGTAGACTGCCAAAGCTGCTACTTTTTAGTCACCTAACAAATAGAAAACGTAACGCTGGTGGGCAACTGAAAAGGTACAAGGATAGTCTTAAGACAAACCTGAAAAAGTGCCAAATCGACTTCCCCCACCAGGGAGACGATTACTCCACACTGTAACGCTTGGACACGAGAAGGTGTCAATACTTTCGAGTTAGACCGACTGCATACCGAGACAGACAAGCGCCAACGCCGGAAAGACGCTGCCGCCTCCCCTCTCGCATTAGATGCAGCCCTCCACATGTGCAACATCTGTGAAAGACCCTGCCGGTCCCGTATCGGCCTCTTTAGTCACCTCAGAACTCACCAACAAAAGTGACACCCTTAAAAACTCATATCATTGTATCATGGCTGGATGATCGTCATACTCGATTCCAAGTGATATGGATATAAATAGTCAAATCATGAATAAATTGACAGAAAGAGAATGTGACAAGTGCAGTTATCGTAAGCTTAAGAGGCCTCAGTGGGTGTACTCACGGTGATGCTGCTGCTGCTCGTTATCTCTGTCTTCTGTCTCGCCAGAGCCGGACTCACCTTGATTGAGGCACCTAATATACGTTTACTGTTGAGTAGCCTAGTGGCGCAATACTTCAACTTGGAGTAAACTTTATATATATATATATATATATATATATATATATATATATATATATATATATATATATATATATATATATATATATATTTCATGTAAATCCACAATGAAAACGTGGATAAGATAAATCTTGATAAAATCACACGGGAAACAATGGAGCACCTTAGCTTTCGTCTTTATTAAGAACATAAGAAAATAAGGAGTCTGCAATAGGCCGGTTGGCCTGTGCATGGCAGTTCCTGTCGAGAGTTACTACCACTCTCTATCATCCTTTTGAAACTTTCCAGAGTTCCCACACTTACTACCAAGTTGCTAAGCTTGTTCCACTCGTCCACCACCCTATTTGTGAACCAGTTTCTTCCTATCTCCCTCCTAAACCTAAACTTATCCAACTTGAATCCGTTGCTCCGAGTCCTATCCTGCTCGGATATTATAAGAACTTTATCTATATCCCCTTTATTGATTCCGTTCACCCACTTAAATACTTCTATCATATCTCCCCGCACTCTTCGTCTTTCTCGGGCAGGGGTCACCAAACTACGGCCCCGACGTCAGTTCATCAGGCCCGCCGACGGTACTTTATTGTAATGTTTGCTTTCGTTCTGGCTTGCAAGTATTGAACAGAATGATTATGCGGCCCGCGCTCGTCATTCTTTCAGTTATCCGGCCCACTGTGAAAAAAGTTTGGTGACCCCTGTTCTAGGGAATGCAAGTTAAGTTTCTTTAACCTATCCTGATATGGAAGGTTTCTAAGTCCCGGAATCATTTTTGTCATTCTTCGCTGCACCGACTCTAGTGAATTTATATCCATTCTATAATAGGGGCACCAGAACTGAACCGCATAATCGAGGTGCGGCCTAACTAGCGCAAGATATAGTTGCAATAAGACCTCTGCACTCTTGTTACTTACACTTCTAGATATAAAACCCAATACTCTGTTTGCCTTATTTCGAACATTAACGCATTGTTTTCTAGGCCGTAGGTCCGGGCTTACAAGTACCCCTAGGTCTCTTTCACAAGTCGACTTCACTAGGTTGATGTTGTTAAGGCTGTATACATTATAAGTATTTGTTCTTCCAATATTAAGTACGCTGCACTTGCTGGTGTTGAATTTCATTTGCCATTTTTCAGACCACCCCTGCAGTTTATTTAGATCCTCCTGTAATGCATTTGCATCCTGCCCTGAATTAATTTGCCGCCCTATTTTGGTGTCATCCGCAAACTTGCTTATGTCACTGCTGATCCCAGTATCTAAATCGTTTATGTAGATTATGAACAAGAGTGGGCCTAGTACTGACCCCTGGGGAACCCCACTGGTTACACGGCCCCACTCAGATTTAACACCATCTACGCTGACCCTCTGCGTTCTATCGGTGAGCCATGATTTTATCCAATTTAAAACTTTCCCCTCGATACCATGAGCCTTAATTTTTCTCAGAAGCCTCTGATGCGGTACTCTGTCAAATGCTTTGCTAAAGTCTAAGTAAATAACATCGTAATTTTCGTCATTATCTACTACCTCGAAGACTTTCCTAAAAAACGTTAGCAGATTTGTTAGACAAGATTTTCCCTTTGTAAACCCATGTTGAGAGTCGTAGATTAATTTGCTTTTCTCTAGATGCGATCGGATGCTATCTGCTATAATTGATTCAAGAAATTTCCCCACTACTGACGTCAAACTGATCGGCCGGTAATTTGACGCTGATGCTCTGTCTCCCTTTTTGAATATGGGTACTACATTTGCCTGTTTCCACAAGTCTGGCACAACTCCAGTGTCTAATGATTTTGTAAATAAATTGCAAGGACCGTGAGAGACTTATGTACACAGGGTGACGTTACTAAACATGAGGTCAAGTCAAAAACATGACATCCACTAATCCGCACACCACCACAAACACAAAAGGAGCTTAAAAGAAAGGGTGACGTAACTAGTCATGCTAAGTCAAGTATAAAATATGGGACCCACTAATCATCTATCCTACATCTGACTCGAATGCTTTAAAAGCATTTTTAACCTTGGGCCACTGACAAATAAATTTGTGTATCGTATTAGTTTTGTACTGATCATCACTAAGGTATCTAGAATTCAATTCTCTAATCAAACTTGCTTCAACCAGAAGTTTTCTGTGATTTATACGCTTCTAAACTGTTTTCCCATCTGTGGGATGATTATTGTTCCTTACATGAACGAATAGTGCACTACTTTCAGATGCCGTTCCAATATTGGACTTGTGCTGTTTAATTCTGAGTTGCAATGCTTTCCCTGTCTGTCCTACATAATTTTCATTACAATTGCTACATGGAATGCAGTAAACACTTCCATTTACATTCAAGGTTAACGTCATCATCGTCATTCTCTCTCTCATCTGGACCTTGGTTAAGGTACTAGGGCTTAAACAGGTACAAGGTTTTTATCCTCCACATCACAAAAACAAGTCAAGCATGGTCAGGGGCGGATTAATAAACAAATCACAAAAAATTTACCTTGGCCAGACAGGGGGGAGGGTGGTGCTGAAAAAATCGTCTGGTGTTATGAAAAGTATCGTTCTGTAGTGAAGTGGTTCAAATCATAACTTTGATGTAGGATTTGTAGATGTTACAAAAATGGATAAATACATTTACCAAAAAACTGTAGAACAGATCTAGGAAGTTTTTTTTAAGTAATTTTCTATAACAATAACAAGTTGTTTTTATCGTGTTCATCCTGGGGAAATAAATATATAAATGATACCCACATAATCCAGTCGGCCTCCTGCAGTATCCCACTTTCTTATGTTCTTATAATCCACATCAGTTTATTCTGGGAAATGTAAGACGTCTGGGTCCTCTAGGAGGGGTCAGTAACAGTAAGGCTGGACCACGTACTGTATGTTATTCACAACACTGCGCTTCACCTTGCACAGGGCGTAATAAACTAGCCTCCTCCGGGGCAATCTAAAATCTAATCTTCGCCTGACGACAGCACTCGCCTAGCGGGTAGCTGTGTTATCCCGCATGGTTTATTCCGCTACATCCTCTGTCAACGGAGAAGCCAATGACAAGCAGATATTACAAAATCCGATAAAATACCAGCCAATGAAAAGTAGAGATCACAAAACCCGCCAAAACACTAGCCAATGACAAGCAGAGTTCAGGACCCATTCCAAAATAAGAGCCAATCACGACAGCGATCATCTAAGGGTTATTTCTAAGCTGTCAAACGTATACACTGCGGTCTTGAAGTATCAGTGTTTTTTGCTTTCAATCTAATGGGAGGAAAATGGATCTAGCGGGATTAGTTATTTGTAGAGCGGTTTTCTAGCGGGATGGCAGGGCAAATCAGAGGACTGCCGGCAATAATACGAATAGAGAATAACTGATTGCAGCTACCCCGTATACGCATGAATTGTACCGTTTTGCTTGCCGTTTCCCTGTTCCCTCCCCGTTTGGAGGTCTACCGTTCCTGAATCTTGGATTTTCCTTTCCCCTCCGGCCTCCCCCCCCTGCCTCTTCCCCTCCCTCACGACTCCGTCTGCATGCTGCCCTGCTGGAAGTCAGTTTCTAGCGGGATGGCAGGGCAAATCAGAGGACTGCTGGCAATAATTGGAGACAAATCGTACAGTATACTGGTAGGTGAGTCAAGATATATTAGTGTTAGCAAGTAATTTGGAACAGCAGTAATTTACTTGTAGCCTACAATGACGAAGTGAAGTAGAAAATTATTTATAATTGGCTGGTTAGCAGTCTGTAATGGTATGTGTATGTAACTTATTTCAAGTGTTTATAAAAATGATTTTCTACATTATTAAAATTTCCATTTGGATTATGTAAATTAGATTACTTGGGATTCCCTCTTTCGAATACATTTATCTCGTAACAATTCAAAACGATTTTTTTGGTAGTAACGTGCAAAAGAAAACAAATCTAGCGGGTTTGGGGGACTAGTCTAATGGGAACTTGCAGGTATATCTCCATTTGGCAGCACTCGGCCTCAGGGCTGCCAGATGGCCGTTTCCACGGCCAAATTGATCTAATTAGGCCATAAAAAGCTTCGCCTGGCCGTGAAAAAATTGATGGTCACGGCCAAAGTATTTGGCCGAATTTTGGAAAACACGTATTAATTCCTCATCTAGTGGATTTTGAAGAAAAGTCTAGCAGATTTTCAAATTTCACAATGAAAATGCTGGCCGGGAAGCTTGTCGTACAACTGGCAACCCTGCTCGGCCTCTGGGAACCTCAGTGACAAAACTCCCTTTGTGGAATGCACGTCGCCGTTGATACCCCTTCATCATTTTTTTTCCACAAATTAACGAGCTACGTCAACACGTAAGTAAATAAGACATCAACTCATCATAACATTTTCTTAAATTTTTCCATATTAAATAATATTTTTACTATGATTATAAATTATATGTACACCCACTAAAAAAATTATTTGGCAACTGTGTCATATTGTATCACGCCGTAAGGATGCCGAATAATTTTTTAGTGGGTGTACATGCACGAATAAGTAATTAGGTAATGTTAGTTAATTAGTTGTTTAGGGATAATTTTAGCTCTCATTAATAAATATACAGACTTAGCTCTACTGTTAATAATAATAATAATAATAGTAAACGGTTTATTAATAGAGTTGCAGCCGGTGGATGAAAATATACAAACTTACATTTGATTTAGACATAATGATATGCGTTGAATACATTTACAGGGCTGTACAGTACATAAATCAGGAGTTGTTAATGTGTGTGTGTGTACTTCATAGCTGTACACACCCTAGGCTCAAGGAAATTGTTCTGAAATGCGTCGTTTTCCATAATATACCTGTATATCTATAAATTCTTGCAGAAATTATCATACATGTACTTTTTGCACATTTTGAAACATCGTGTTACATGCTAAAATTGGTTGCCAAAGTGATGTATTCAGGCGCTGTCAAGGTCAACCAATTAACCTAACAGTACAGTTTTTATTTCCCGCCATAATCTCGTCCAAGGCCTACTGCTCTATCTCTCTCTCTCAGACATGACAGTATCACTATCACTTAAGTATGAATCAACATTATCAATAGCACACTTTTCAGTTCATTGTTGCCAATTCCTCATTTTTATTCTTAACTTTTCACTTAAACACAAAAAAATATACAGATTCATTATCATACTTAAATTGTATGAGAGTTTAAAGGGAATCTAACTAATTTATTGATGAAGTGATTATTTTATTTTCTGTATAACCATCATATTTTTTTAATACCCCTGTACTGTGATGACAATATTATGGGATAGTTAGAATCATTATACAATGCTTAGAAGAGTCGTTGGTGTTTTATACAATATTAACTGTAAATAAAATAAGATTTTTTTTCTCTCTCTCTTGTCTCTGAGTACTGTTGGGGAATCTAGTAACAATCCTATAACAATCATGCTGTGTTAAGCCACGACACCTATTTCTACTCCTACTACTCACTTCCATCCACCATCTGTCCTCCCACTGATTTTTTTTTACCCCTGTCACTTGGGATTTATGTTATATATGTATACAAGTGTGGTGATGTTTATTCTAGGTCCACCAGCATGTTGAGTGTGATGTGCCGTGTACTGGGTACAGGTGCGGGAATCAGTGGTTTGGTACGGGTAGTCAGCGTCGTGGGTGTGAGAGGTAGTGAAGGTGGAACTACAAGAATATCCCGGGCTCTCCACATCACCATGACACAACTAGCACAAAACAGTCATTTCAACAAACCCACGGCTTCCAATGACTTACCACGGCCGGGAGGGATCGCTTCTTTCATGCGTCTTCCTGTCCACACAACTACAGAAGGTTTGATCACAGTCTTAAGGCGGCGGCACACTGGGCACTTTCCTCCCAAAATGTTGCCCGTTTTTGCTGACCGTTGACCTGACGGCCTTGCAGCAGCAGCATTTCTGCTGTTGCGAGAAATGGACAACGGTTTGGCGGGGATCTTTGCTGGCCGGATTAGTGCTCAAGTGAGCTTGTAGGGGTATCGAGATATTAATGTTGTCTAGCACTCAGGATGGAAGGAAACTCTAATGTGGTTTTCTTATATAATATAAGTTATATGATAGACAGTCTGGTGCGTGGAGCTTGCTGGAGGAGGTGTTGCTTGTTCAGGAAGATGGGCAGAATGAGAGTTGGTTGGTGAGGAAGCTTAGAGAAGGACAGCTGGTGGGTCGCCATGCTCGCTGGCGGTAGCGAGGACCGCCAGGCAGGCGAGGAGAAGCGAAGGCAGCCAGGCAACGGCGGAGGAGGAGGTGTTGCTTGTTCAAGAAGAATGGTCAGAATGAATCTCAATGGAGAGACAGAGCTTATATACCCAGCAGCAGCCGCCAGTCCTCTATGAATCATGTTGGGAAAACCCGAGAAGTCGCCGGTCACTAGTTCCGTTGCTAAGATACGGTAACATCTGGTTGGTTGCTAGGGAGGATGGTAGCAGCTTGGTGACGCCGCTACGCAGTTGTAGGCAGTTGTAGGGGAGACGTCCACTACAAGCTTCATATAATTTCAAGTAAAAATTTAAATGAATCATGAAACAAATATAATTTATAATATAACACATACGGCGACATATTTCTATTTATTCGTCACTTTAAAACTTCTTTAGTATTATTAAATCATTATTCAAGATCTTCTTTGCTTCTTTGACCAGCCAGCGAGCAAATTTTTTTTATCAGAGTACCACATAGAAGGGTACAACCTTTTTCACAAGGGCAGGGAAGGTAGGAAGGGGGTAGGGGTCGCACTCTTCGTCAAGGATACATTAAAATGTTGCATTAATAAATCAATAAAGGGTGAAATGGGAACCGAGTCTGTATGGGTAGAAATCATGGAAGGAAGAGAAAAACTAATTATGGGAGTGATTTACAGGCCCCCAAGTCTGGGCAAAGAAGCAGCTCCTCCCATATGGCAGGAAATGAGTAGGGCAGCAAAATATAACAACCTATGCATTATGGGGGATTTCAACTTCAGAAATATTGACTGGGACAACATTGTAGGTGACTATGAATCTGAAGACTTCCTAGACGCAGTGCAGGACAATTTTTTGAAACAACTAATTACAGAACCTACAAGAGGTGACAATATTTTAGACCTAGTATTAACAAATAAAGAAAATATTATCAGAGATATCACAGTAGGGGAAGAACTAGGTAACAGTGATCACAGAGAAATCAGGTTCACCCTAAATTGGGAAACAAAAAACAATGACAATATGGTCAGAGTCCCAAACTTTCGGTTGGCGGATTATCAGGGATTAAGAAGGTACCTAGGTGAGGTCACCTGGGAACAGTCACGTCAGTCCCCAGTAGGAAGGGGTGAGGTCATAGATAAGAACATAAGAACATAAGAAAGTGGGATACTGCAGGAGGCCGACTGGCCCATACAGGGCAGATCCCTTTCACACCCATCCCAGCACTTCCATGTGCCTATCCAACTTCGTCTTGAAGCTCCCTAGCGTCCCCGATCCTACTATAGCACTCGGTAGCCTATTCCACATATCCACAACTCTATTACCAAACCAGTGCTTGCCTATATCCTTTCTGAATCGGAATTTATCTAATTTAAAGCCATTTGTTCTAGCTATTTCGTTATTACTGAGCTTCAGAACATCTTCCATTTTACCCTTGTTAATCCCACTTACCCACTTGAACACCTCTATCATATCTCCCCTAATTCTACGCCTCTCTAATGAATGCAAGCCTAAGCTTTTCAGTCTTTCTTCATATGGAAGGTTTCTAATATTATGGATCATTTTTGTCATTCTTCTTTGTACTCTCTCCAAAGAATCTATGTCCATTCTATAATGAGGACACCAGAATTGAACCGCATAATCCATGTGTGGCCTCACTAATGCTAGGTAAAGTTTCAAGATAACGTCAGCAGTTCTGTTACTCACAGATGACACAACAATTGATCATGATTATAATATATTCACTAGTATACTACATAAAGCACAAGAACAAAATATACCATACAGAAAAATTAGGTCAAATAAGAATGAGCCAGGGTGGATGACCAGAAAACTTAAACATGACATAGGAATAAAGAAAGGAATTTATAAGAAATTAAAGGGAGGGGAGGAGCAGCTCAGAAATAGGTATAATGAACTATCTAGGAATGTTAAGAATAAATGTAATGAAAGCAAAGAGAGACAATGAAGTCAATATAGCAAAAGATTCCAAGGCGAATCCCAAGGGATTTTTCCAGGTATATAGAACAAAAGTCAAAGACAAAGTTGGGCCCTTAAAGTCAGGGAGGGGAGAAGTGATAAATGGCAGTGAAAAAATAAGCAAAGCATTGAACAACTACTTCTTATCAGTTTTCACAGAAGAAATTCGCGAGGAAATTCCAGAGATGGAACTGATATTTTGGGGAAAGGAAGAAGAGAAATTAAAGAATATCACTATCAGAAAAGAGGATGTTCTTAAGAGGATAAATAAACTTTTCATCAGTTTTCGAATCGGTGGACGAGGGGCACAATTATGATGTGGTATATCTCGACTTTAGCAAAGCCTTCGCCAGTCCCCCACGAAAGACTAATTAGAAAGGTAGAAGCACATGGCATCAATCCTTAAATGGATTAGGGCGTGGTTACAGGACAGGAAACAGCGAGTGAGCATTAATGGCATTAAGTCTCATTGGAGCAACGTCACAAGTGGAGTTCCCCAAGGCTCAGTACTTGGACCATTATTATTTATTATATACATAAACGACATAGATATCGGCATAGACAGCAACATAAGCAAATTTGCTGATGACACTAAAATAGGATGTGTTATTAAATCTGACGAGGACTCTGCAAAACTACAGGAAGATCTAAACAAATTTTTTGAATGGTCTGAAAAATGGCAGATGAAATTCAACGTGGACAAATGTAAAGTACTCAGTATAGGAGATGTAAACAGGGAAACCAGATACCAGATGAACAACGATGCCATAGAGAAATCCGACTGCGAGAGAGATTTAGGAGTAATGATAAGTAGGAACCTTAAGCCAAGTAAACAATGTGTTTCTGCTCGTAACAAGGCTAATAAAGTACTTGGGTTCATACAAAGGAGTGTTAGTTACAAGACTAGCTAGGTCATCCTAAAACTGTATCTTGCTCTTGTGAGACCACACCTGGATTACGCAGTTCAGTTCTGGTCACCGTATTACAGAATGGATATGGAATCCTTGGAAAGAATTCAGAGGAGAATGACAAGACTAATCCCGGGCATTAGGAACCTTGAGTATAGAGATAGGTTAAAGCATCTTAAATTGCACTCCCTCAAGAGACGTAGAGCGATGGGCGACCTGATAGAGGTGTATAAATGGAAGGCAGGGCTAAACAAATGGGACATTACAAAGGTACTCGTAACAATGGTTTTAAATTAGACAAATTTAGATTTAGGCGTGAAATAGGTAAACACTGGTTTGGAAACAGAGTAGTGGATGAATGGAACAAGTTACCAAATATCATCATTAACTCGAATAAGCTGAATAGCTTCAAACATAGGTTGGATGCTTATATGAGCAATAGGGGTTGGGTGTAAACGGGACTGCCCAGTATGGGCCAATAGGCCCGCTGCAGTTTCCTCCATTCTTATGTTCTTATGTTTTTAAGACAAAATCCCCAGGGCCGGACGAAATTTTCCCTCGAGTCTTGAAAGAGTGTAGGGAACAGATTAGCGGACCCCTTGTAAATTTATTTACAAAATCATTAGACACCGGAGTTGTGCCAGACTTGTGGAAACAGGCAAATGTAGTACCCATATTCAAAAAGGGAGACAGAGCATCAGCGTCAAATTACCGGCCGATCAGTTTGACGTCAATAGTGGGGAAATTTCTTGAATCAATTATAGCAGATAGCATCCGATCGCATCTAGAGAAAAGCAAATTAATCTACGACTCGCAACATGGGTTTACAAAGGGAAAATCTTGTCTAACAAATCTACTGACGTTTTTTAGGAAAGTCTTCGAGGTAGTAGATAATGACGAAAATTACGATGTTATTTACTTAGACTTTAGCAAAGCATTTGACAGAGTACCGCATCATAGGCTAAGTTTATGGTAATATTTTATAGTTATCTGCGTGTTTTTATTTATTTCTGATATTTTCTATTTGGCTGAATGTTTTATGTCTTAATATTATATTTCGTACTAGGGAACTTTGGATAATATTTTCCTTATATTAAATGTGTAATAATACTTCATACTTGGAACTTGGTGATAATCTTTTCCTAATATTAAATATGTGATAATATTTCAGATCTAGATGCATGTTTCATAGGAGTACCACTAGACGTTGGGACATCCAACAGAAGTGGCACTCGTTTAGGACCTAGACAAATACGCTGTGAGTCGGTGCTTCTCAGACCTTACAACTCAGTGACTGGAGCGGCACCTTTCAACTGTCTCAACGTTGGTGATGTGGGCGATGTGCCTTGCAATATATTCAAGTATGACTTCTCCACGTTACTATCTTCTTAGAACTCTTGTCATATAACACTCTTCACCAATATTACTGTCATATAACACTGTCTTTGCCTATGTTACTGTCATATAACACTGTCTTCACTTCTATTATTGTCATATAACAATGTATTCACCTCTGTTATTGTCATATAACACTGTCTTCACTTCTGTTATTGTCATCTAACACTGTCTTCACCTCTGTTACTGTCATATTACACTGTCTTCACCTCTGTTACTGTCATATAACGCTGTCTTCACCTCTGTTACTGTCATATTACACTGTCTTCACCTCTGTTAATGTCATATAGCACTGTCTTCACCTCTGTTACTGTCATATAACGCTGTCTTCACCTCTATTATTATCATCTAACACTGTCTTCACCTCCATTACTACTATATAACACTGTCTTCACCTCTATTATTGTCATCTAACAATGTCTTCACCTCTGTTAATGTCATATAACACTGTCTTCTCCCCTATTACTGTCATATAACACTGTCTTCACTTCTATTACTGTCATATAAGGAGTCTGCAATAGGCCGGTTGGCCTGTGCATGGCAGCTCCTGTCGAGAGTTACTGCCACTCTCTATCATCCATGAATCTATCTAGCCTCCTTTTGAAACTTTCCAGAGTTCCCGCACTTACTACAAAGTTGCTAAGCTTGTTCCACTCGTCCACTACCCTATTTGTGAACCAGTTTCTTCCTATCTCCCTCCTAAACCTAAACTTATCCAACTTGAATCCGTTGCTCCGAGTCCTATCCTGCTCGGATATTATAAGAACTTTATCTATATCCCCTTTATTGATTCCTTTCACCCACTTAAATACTTCTATCATATCTCCCCGCACTCTTCGTCTTTCTAGGGAATGCAAGTTAAGTTTCTTTAACCTATCCTGACATGGAAGGTTTCTAAGTCCCGGAATCATTTTTGTCATTCTTCGCTGCACCGACTCTAGTGAATTTATATCCATTCTATAATAGGGGCACCAGAACTGAACCACATAATCGAGGTGCGGCCTGACTAGCGCAAGATATAGTTGCAATAAGACCTCTGCACTCTTGTTACTTACACTTCTAGATATAAAACCCAATACTCTGTTTGCCTTATTTCGAACATTAACGCACTGTTTTCTAGGCCGTAGGTCCGGGTTTACAAGTACCCCTAGGTCTCTTTCACAAGTCGACTTCTCTAGGTTGATGTTGTTAAGGCTGTATACATTGTCAGTATTTGTTCTTCCAATATTAAGTACGCTGCACTTGCTGGTGTTGAATTTCATTTGCCATATTTCAGACCACCCTGCAGTTTATTTAGATCCTCCTGTAATGCATTTGCATCCTGCCCTGAATTAATTTGCCGCCCTATTTTGGTGTCATCCGCAAACTTGCTTATGTCACTGCTGATCCCAGTATCTAAATCGTTTATGTAGATTATGAACAAGAGTGGGCCTAGTACTGACCCCTGGGGAACCCCACTGGTTACACGGCCCCACCCAGATTTACACCATCTACGCTGACCCTCTGGGTTCTATCGGTGAGCCATGATTTTATCCAATTTAAAACTTTCCCCTCGATACCATGAGCCTTAATTTTTCTCAGAAACCTTTGATGCGGTACTCTGTCAAATGCTTTGCTAAAGTCTAAGTAAATAACATCGTAATTTTCGTCATTATCTACTACCTCGAAGACTTTCCTAAAAAACGTTAGCAGATTTGTTAGACAATATTTTCCCTTTGTAAACCCATGTTGAGAGTCGTAGATTAATTTTCTTTTCTCTAGATGCGATCGGATGCTATCTGCTATAATTGATTCAAGAAATTTCCCCACTACTGACGTCAAACTGATCGGCCGGTAATTTGACGCTGATGCTCTGTCTACCTTTTTGAATATGGGTACTACATTTGCCTGTTTCCACAAGTCTGGCACAACTCCAGTGTCAAATGATTTTGTAAATAAGTTTACGAGGGGTCCGCTAATCTGTTCCCTACACTCTTTCAAGACTCGAGGGAAATTTCATCCGGCCCCGGGTATTTTCTTTTCTTTAGTTTATTTATCTTCTTAAGAACATCCTCTTTTCTGATAGTGATATTCTTTAATTTCTCTTCTTCCTTTCCCCTAAATATCAGTTCCACCTCTGGAATTTCATCGCAAATTTCTTCTGTGAAAACTGATAAGAAGTAGCTGTTCAATGCTTTGCTTATTTTTTCACTGCCATTTATCACTTCTCCCCTCCCTGACTTTAAGGGCCCAACTTTGTCCTTGACTTTTGTTCTATATACCTGGAAAAATCCCTTGGGATTCACCTTGGATTCTCTTGCTATTTTGATTTCATAGTCTCTCTTTGCTTTCCTTACATTTTTCTTAACATTCCTAGATAGTTCATTATACCTATTTCTGAGCTGCTCCTCCCCTCCCTTTAATTTCTTATAAATTCCTTTCTTTATTCCTATGTCATGTTTAAGTTTTCTGGTCATCCACCTTGGCTCATTCTTATTTGACCTAATTTTTCTGTATGGTATATTTTGTTCTTGTGCTTTATGTAGTATACTAGTGAATATATTATAGTCATGATCAATTGTTGTGTCATCTATGACCTCACCCCTTCCTACTGGGGACTGACGTGACTGTTCCCAGGTGACCTCACCTAGGTACCTTCTTAACCCCTGATAATCCGCCAACCGAAAGTTTGGGACTCTGACCATATTGTCATTGTTTTTCGTTTCCCAATTTAGGGTGAACCTGATTTCTCTGTGATCACTGTTACCTAGTTCTTCCCCTACTGTGATATCTCTGATAATATTTTCTTTATTTGTTAATACTAGGTCTAATATATTGTCACCTCTAGTAGGTTCTGTAATTAGTTGTTTCAAAAATTGTCCTGCACTGCATCTAGGAAGTCTTCAGATTCATAGTCACCTACAATGTTGTCCCAGTCAATATTTCTGAAGTTGAAATCCCCCATAATGCATAGGTTGTTATATTTTGCTGCCCTACTCATTTCCTGCCATATGGGCTGAGCTGCTTCTTTGCCAAGACTTGGGGGCCTGTAAATCACTCCCATAATTAGTTTTTCTCTTCCTTCCGTGATTTCTACCCTCACAGACTCGGTTCCTATTTCACCCTTTATTGAATTATTAATACAACATTTTAATGTATCCTTGACGAAGAGTGCGACCACCTCCCCCCTTCCTACCTTCCCTGTCCTTGTGAAAAAGGTTGTACCCTTCTATGTGGTACTCTAATAAAAAAATTTTGCTCGCCAGATTCATCCAAGTTTCGGTGATTGCGATGACGTCTACATTCTCGGTACATACAACCGCTCTCAGCAAGTTTATTTTATTTCTAACGCTCCTACTGTTTGTATAGTATACATTTAAACCTACCCTTCCCTGGTCCTGTTTTACCCCTTGTCCTGAGCAACTAATTTTACTTCCCAGAACCTGCTTGTTTTTTGACTCCCACTTTCCCCGACCTCTCTCTACTGGCGAAAGCCCCCCTTCGGAGTGACAATTTCACGCTCCAGGGATGCAGACAACGTTTTTACCCCCTCACGAGACAAGTGTACTCCGTCGCGACTGTACAGGTAGTCGTTGCCATAGAATCGTTGCCAGCTATCAATGAATACCCAACCATTGTTTGCACAATGTTTTTCCAGTCGGCAATTTATATCAATTGCCCTGGACAGCCATTCACGACCAACCCCTCTTCTAGGCAAGACTCCACATACTATCGGGATCCCTCCCCTATCTCTAATCTTCCCCAGCGCCTCCCTATACCTCTTGAAAAGTTCCTCACTCCTAATCTTACCTATGTCGTTTCCTCCCACACTAAGACACACTACTGGATTGGTACCCTCCCCTGACAAAACCCTGTCTAACCTCTCAGCTACATGCCCTATCCCAGCCCCAGGAAACCACACCCTAGTCCTACGTTTCCTATCTCTCGCACAAAAAGCCCGATCTACAAACCTCACCTGGCTGTCCCCAACTACCACGACCTTGCCTGTGGGCAGGGTTTGTACAACTGCCCTTTCCTCTCCTTGCTCCATACCGTCCTGCCTCTTCTCTTCCTCGCCAGCTTCCTGCAGCACCTGGTAAGGGTTACTGCACTCCACACCCTGGTCAGCTTTCCTGAGCCTGACCCTAGTCCCCTTGGAGACAACCACTCTCCACGCCTGCTCCTCCTTCGCAGGTGTCCTGCTAGGCAGGACACCTACCTGAAGGAGTTCCGTCCTGAGGGCTTCATTTTCCCCCTTTAGAGTGTCAACCTCACTCCTCAACTGCCCCAGCTGCCTTAACAGAGTGGCAAGGAGGTCGTCTTTCCCCACACTCCCCTCCTCTTCCCCCAAGACACAATGATCCAAGGCGGCCATTTTCCTTGGTCTCTAACGGGAGCACTTGCGGGCACGACCTTCTCCAAGCTGGGTCAGGTAGCAACGTGCCCCTAGTCCTGCACATGACAGGTATTAATGCTCGGACACCTTCAGGACTTATAAACAGTGTTGTGGTGTGTGCCCATAGCTTGCCAGTGGCGTGTGAGAACATCAGAGAGTACTACGTTAAGGTGATCGCGAATGGATGTATCCCTCTGACCTTGGGCGGCGACCATACCATCACCTATCCGATCCTTCAGGCTATCAAGGTAACCTCTCTCTCTCTCTCTTTACACTAAGCCTCTCACTCACTAAAATATGGTCTAAGCATACTTGTTTATCACCGTGTAAGTACCCAAGGTTACCCCCCCTGCACCTGTCACCCCACTCCCCCACATTGACAATCTGTCCTGGCTGTAGTTTTCACATCCCCCAGATCATACAGTCGCCTTCATTTATTCCTGGTACAGTAAAGGATGTGCCCTAATATTTTGCTTCACTTTTGTCTACCTTTGATAAATTTCATGTTAATTTACTAAGACTAAAAAAAAACAATTTAACAAAAATGGCACATTCATTTTCTACGACTTTATTTTTGACAGGTCTTGGGATATATCACTCATTTTATAATCCACCAAACCCTCGGGGCACGATACTTTTTGGGGTTGGCTGTACATCCCTCAGTCCATCCCAGTTTTACCAAAGGAAAAGACCTTTGATTTCTCTGTTGCTTTATTATCTCACACATCACTCATTGAGGTTGGTCATAGATGGAGAATTCAAATATAAAAACTCATTATCTGAATAAGGAAGCAAAAGAAGTGACCTGGATTTTTGGGCCGAAACTTGTAACCCCAACTTGAACCTTCACTAGTTCTTGTATCCATCTGTAGCTCCTGGTGTAGTCAGATTTTTTAAGTGAGATTTCTTCTTTTTTTTTTTGTCTTTGGCTATAATTAATACAGGTGAACTAACAATGTTACGTACACGAATAAATGACCCTGTCGCCAAGCATTAAATACTCACTTAGTACTGGAAGTCTTTGCCTAATAAAGAAATACAGTAAGGTTTAAATCATACATACCATTTATTCAATTCCTCAAACATTAACGAAATATTTTGTTTATCAGTGTTCCATTTTATTTAGTACATATGTAGATCAGAGAAGCACTTTTTCCCCACATTTTGTTCGTGAAAATATTCCCTGATTTATAATAGGTATTTCATCCAATTTCAGATAACTGATATTTTATGACATCACTTAGTTGGGAATTAGTTTTATCTTTGACTTTTAAGAAATAGAACAAGGACACATTACATACCGTGTGTTATAATAAAAGACGTTTGTGTGATCAGGCCAAGAGAGGTACAGTTGGGCTGGTACATGTAGATGCTCATTCGGACGTCAGTGATACCATGCTTGGAGCTAAGATCACCCATGGTACCCCCTTCAGGAGAGCACTGGAGGAGGATCTCATTGACCCTCGTGCCACCTACCAAATTGGTCTTCGAGGCTCCTGTCACACAGAAGATGGAAATGCATGGCAGCTGAGTAAGGTATGGTGATGAACATGGTAAATTCATTTTCTCTTCCAGTTTTGTGCTTCTTATCTGTGAATCTGAGACATCACACATTGTTGGGACCATAGATAGTGCACTGTGTGATGGTTTGGATTCACAGGTTCATGAGTGTCAGGGTTCATGGACTGAAAACACTTATTTGTGGGTGTACAGTCTCATGCATTTATACCTGTAACAATGTCTGGTACATTTTGTGAGATTTATTTTATCTTATTTTAATATATATATATATATATATATATATATATATATATATATATATATATATATATATATATATATATATATATATATATATATTTTTTTTTTTTTTTTTTTTAACAAGATTAGCCACCGGGCACAGGTCACTGACCACATCGGGGCCTGGGGGGCGAAAATGTAATAATAATAACGATAATAATAATAATTAGTTCTAAGTAAATAAAATTTATAATAAAAAAACAAAATTTAAAATAAAATAATAACAACAATAATAATAATACCAACAACACTGATGATAACAATAATAACACTGTACTACTACTACTACTACTACTACTACTACTACTACTACTACTACTTAACGTGGCCTCCAGCCTCCCCCAATAGACACACCTTCGCCACCATTTAATTACCTTAATATTAAATATCCTAATACATAAGTAGCTATCCTATCTGTGTTAAATTAGTTGAGCTGCAGATCTATGCGGCATTCAGTGACAGTAGCCAATATCTGCATCAGTTGTCGGAGTTGGGGCAGAAGCTCTCGTTCTCCTGAGGCAGAGCAAAGCCGACCGAAGGAGGGAGAAAGACAGTCGACATCACATCCAGGCTGTAACATAACTTCTCGGCTGCTGCTTCTGTTCGGAGATCACCTCCGCGAGTCTGGCGTAGAAACATCTTGCACTTGGTCCCATCCCACCAGAGGTTGTGAACACTAGAGGAGTGAAGCTGCCTTGATCAACGTTTTGAACTACTACTACTACTACTACTACTACTACTACTACTACTACTACTACTAATAATAATAATAATAATAATAATAATAATAATAATAATAATAATAATAATAATAATAATAATAATAATAAACCATAAAGAAATAAAAAAAAATCAATAGTGAGAAACAATATATGTATGTTGTGTTGTCGAAGTAAGAGAAACAATTGAAACACTGCAATTGTGTGCAAATGTGGCAGCAAGTCAGATCAGCAACCTGGGACTTGGTCACAATTTTCGTGATGCCATATGGCAGCAGGGCCTACCATTAGACAACACATTATGCTTCCAATATCTTCCCAGGCGGTAGTACCTCCCTGTTTGTGCAGCTGCCTACTACTTACTACCTACTACCTACACAGTGGTAGCACTGTGGAATGTTTATCCAGTATCTTAGTCTGGCTATTATTGTCTGGTTCCTTATGGCCATACCAAGAGATTTAATATGATGTAAACAAACACACCAGCCACTATACCAGATTAATGTAGGTGTTGAACAGCAAACACGTAGTGTAGTAACTCCCTCCCAGATGGTGTTAGGAGGGACCTCACATGGTGTAGTAGTTCCCTCACAGACGGTGTTATGAGGGACCTCACGTGGTGTAGTAACTCCCTTACAGATGGTGTTATGAGGGGCATCACGTGGTGTACGAATTCCCTCACAGATGGTGTTATGAGGGGCCTGACGTGGTGTAGTAATTCCCTCACAGATGGTGTTATGTGTGTGTGTGTGTGTGTGCGCGCGTGTGTGCACACAGGGTGGTGTACTGCATCTAGTGTGGCAGCATTATGTTAGTGTTAAGGCGCAAACACTGCTTGCATCCTCTTGCTTTCAGCTACCGCCGCTGGCTAGCCCCCGTGGCGAACAGGGAAGCAACTTGCATAAGTCTTTCCCTGCCAGTGCACAGCCTCTTCACCACCAAGACTCCTGTTGTGCCTTCTCGTAGCAGCACACAGTAACTGGGTGCCTCGTGGGCCCAGGATAGACCAACAGGGGATCTCGGAGTAGCAGTGGGCCTCAGAGGGACGGCGCATAGGCCCAATGGCATGTGGATAAGTCCTGGTGCTTACCAACCACTGCTCACTGCCTTATGGATTAACCTTGGTAGGTATAAGGCTATGGGATTAAACCCCGAACAAAAATCTGTGGTGGAGCTCCAACAAGACCTCAACGGCGGTGTAGGCGGAAGAGGTGACCAACATGGGAAGCTAAGGATTATACCGGCGGAAGAAGGCAATGTATGATGGACAGGCTACTAAGGCGAAACCCAACAAGCTGGGCTATCGGCAGTCCATTGCAGCTCTCCCTCTCCCCAGTCGTTGCAACACCTGCACCACTGGATCAGGAAAAGGGAGAGCCAAGATGTGTGGTTGCAGCCTGCACTCCTGCCTCACCACATAAATCAACTCAAGCGCAGCAATCATCCAACTCATCATATTCCTCATCATCAAACCCTTATACCCCAAAAGTCCTGTGGCGACGGACGAGTGGCGAAGGGGAAAGGTAGAGATGACTGCCGGGAGTCTCTAGTCACAACTCTGCACAGGAGTGGCATAGATGAGATGGTCGTTTATGCACTGGGATCTAGGCAGCAGTGCAATCCAGTCCTGTCTGTGCGACTGAGCAGCCCTTTCGAGGAACCACTCTGCTCACCCCATATGGGGAGGTGGCTAGAAAAGGCACCCTAAACATAGTCTACCTAAAGAACCAACCTGACTGGGCAACCGCACCCAGTATGGTCATCCTTATGCGGTCGAAAACACAATTATAATCACAGATCAAAACAAAAACAAACTATACGACCCCTTATGGTTGCTGCATGGAATATCAGGACCCTTCTGGATACTGGCACAAATGCACGTCCTGAAAGAAGAACTGCCCTTGTGGCAAAAGATCTGGCTAGATATAACATCGACATAGCAACCATTAATGATTCCCGGCTCCCAGACGAGGGTCGACTCACAGAACGGGGGTCTGGCTAAACCTTCTTCTGGAAGAGTAAGCCTGCTGCTGAGCGAAACCGCATTTATGGAATTGGCTTTGCCATCCGCCAACGCATCCTACACAGGTTAACTGACATTTGGCAAGGAATCATAGGGAGAAATGGACTAGACATGTGTAATCCCAATGGCCTACTCCTCCTCAGCAAGTGTGCTGCACACAACCTCACTATCACCAATACCTTGTTTAGGCAGGTCGACAAGTTAAAGGGTTCGTAACAACACCCACGATCCAAACACTGGCATCTCATTGACTACATAATTGTCAGAGAAAGAGATCGACGAGATGTCCTTATCACCCGAGCAATGCGTGGCTCAGACCTCTGCAACACTGATCATCGGTTCGTCAGAGCCAAGCTCTCACTTCTCGTCGCCTCAAAACGGCGAAGGCAGCAAGCCTCCAGAAGAAGAGCCAGCAGTAGCACAATATTTCAGAGAGTGGCTCGAACATGGGCTGATGAACAACCCAATAACAAAACAACCCAAATTGGATCTCAGGCCACGAATGTTGGGAAAATGAAGTGTGAAAAAAGCCGATTCTCCATCAACCGCGGTGACGTTATTTGAGGCCCCACTAGTTTGATGATGATCAGATCGGCCCTGGGGTCCACAACCTTCCCGACCATTGGGACCTATCTGAGAAGGCCCCGCTTTAATATTTTTGTTAACTGATTTCATAGGAAAATAATAGAACAGAAAGAATAAAACAGATCAGGAGTAAGAAAAGTTATATACTGTATGTTGTGTTGTCAACAGTAAGAGAAATAATTGAGACCCTACAATTGTGTGTAAATGTGGCAGAAAGTCAGATCAGCAACCTGAGACTTGGTCACAATTTTCGTGATGCCATATAGCAGCAGGGTCTACCATTAGACAACACATTATGCTTCCAATATCTTCCCAGGCAGTAGCACCTCTTTGTTTGATAGCTACCTACTACCTACAAGTTTATTAGGGATAAATTCTGTTTGAAATGTGGGTAAAATAGTCACTAAAATTATTCATGATGTATAGTAAATGAAGGAAGTTTATGGAGGATAGCATGTTATCTAGCGTAAACATGGCAGGTTTTCTCCAGGTACTACAGTTGCCTCCTGTACAGGTGCTCCTCTACTTACAAACGAGTTACATTCCTGAGGCTTGTTTGTAAGTCCAACTTTACTCTTGTAGATACCAAACATATTGTAAAAAATGAAAAGATTATGGATATTTAGTACAGCTATACCCTTTAATACAGCCTTAAAACCTGGCTCACTCTTCTCCTCTTAGGTAATGTTTGTTCTATCTGGAATTTTCTTCAAAATAATCCAGTCTCATCCACATTAAACACCTGTTCTGGCAGGTAACCCCCCTCAGTGATGATGTTTGTATCTCTGAAAGTTTGTAAGTTGAACGTTCTTAAGTATAGGAGCACCTGTACTAACACTGGACAATAAATTTTACAACAAAATAACAAATTCCACCAGGTACTACAGTGCCTCATATACTAACACTGGACAATAAAGTTCTTAACAAAATAACAAACATCCCAACGACCCCAAAAGAGTAATGTGCTGATAAATTATAAAAATATTACAATATTTGTTACAGGGGTTCAATGTGGTGACAGCTGAGGAGTGTTGGCACAAGTCCCTCACACCACTCATGGAAGAAATAAGAGCTAAGATGGGTGACAGACCAGTTTATCTCTCCTTCGACATTGATGCTATTGATCCAGGGTTCTGTCCCGGTACAGGTAAGTAGATTAGAATAACATTGACATGTTTATAATGATCCTATGATGTCTTACACTGATAAAAGTCTCTGTGTACCTGTATATACCATGTTATACCTATACATGTATTGTTATGGACCTTGTTACACCTACAGTGTTATATACCTTGTTATACCCACATTGTTATATACAATGATTATATGGAGAGAGAAATATGTTATATAGAGGTTTAACTTTTATGTTCAATAATGTCTTCTGATTGTAGGCACTCCAGAGATAGGAGGACTAACACCCATCCAGGCGCTAGAAATCGTACGAGGCTGTAGGGGACTTAACCTCGTGGGCTGTGATCTAGTGGAGGTAAGTGTGTGGCCCAGGAACTGTACAGTACAGTATACAGTATACCACACTGGGGGTAACTTATCAGTGTTCTTTATACATACATTCATACTACCTGCATCTGCTGCTTGTGAGCATCTGTTTAATCAAGCGGTGCTTATTATTTATTATTGAATTAATTTATTACGCCCCATGTCTTTTGGTGAAGAGGATAAACGAAAAGGAAAAGTAATAGAGACGTGACCGATCGCCCAAGCGGCTAACGAGCCGATCAATGGTGAAGAGGATAAAAGTAAAGTAAAATTAATATCACAGGAACATCAAATTTACTGGTCAAAGGCTGGGCCAGATACTTGTCAGCATCATGACTCTGAGTTTAAAGGAACATTAAGAAAATATGGTTCAGGTGAGCATCAGAAACACCATTTCCTCTCTTAAGTCTGCATTCTTCAGAACTTTGAGTAATGGCGAATCAGTAAAGAGAGAGTGGTTACTCTTCTCTAAATCACAAGGTAAACTCTACTGTTTAACATGTTTGCTCTTCTCTAGTACACTAAAAGTTCACCATTTGTGCATGGTTTCAATGACTGGGCACACACCAGCAGAGCTCTTGGGGAACACGAATGTTTAGTGGATCACAGAAAAACAACTCTAGCCTATGTACAGCTATCAAAAATCGGTAATTGTATTGGCAGTAGACTCCGCCATCAAATTGAAAATGAGAGGAAATATTGGCATTCATTACTTTTGCGTTTGGTAGAAGTAATAAAGTTTTTGAGTGAGCGTGGATTAGCGTATTCTTGAACTAATAAGCAAGTTTGATCCATTTCTGGCTGATCACTTTTCACGGTTTGGAAATGTTCAAAGTTATTTCATCCCCACCATTTGTGATGAACTCATTTTGGTAATGGGAAAAAAGGTTTTGTCAACTGTTTGCAAAGAGATTCAGAGTGCAAAATACTACTCCTTATGTTTAGATTCTACACCCGATACTTCAAGAACTGACCAACTTGCATTTACTATTCGGTATGTTTCTTCGTCTGGTGAACCAGTGGATCGTTTTTTGCTTTATCTTCCCTTCAGTAGTCACACAGGAGAAAATATGTGTGATAAGGTCCTGGACACATTGAACGAATTGGACATAGATATTGAAAATTGTCGTGGACAATCGTACGATAATGCTGCCAATATGTCTGGGATATATGAAGGTCTCCAAAGAAAAGTCAAAGATGTAAATAATCTCATTGATTATGTACCTTGTGCTGCCCATTCACTGAACCTGGTAGGAGTACATAGTGATAGTTGTTGTTTGGAAGCCATAATTTTTTTTGGTTTGCTGAACAAACTTTATGCTTTCTGCGTAGGATCTACACCTCTTTCGTCTATCTATCTTGACAAAGGGTTTCGCTCCAAATGAAAACAAGATTTTAACTTTAAAACTCTTGTCAAATATGTGATGGTCTTGCCATGCTGAGGCTACAAAACATTGTGCCTGAACTACAAAAGCCTATATGAAAACCTGAAAGACTTTTGTGCCTAATGATGATGAACCTGAATCTGTGAGGTCAGAGGCAAATGGATTAATTGTTGGCCTAGAAAAGCTTGAAACAGGTTTCATGGCAAAAATGTGGAATAGAATACTTATTCAGTTCAATAAAGTGAGCCTAACTCTGCAAAAGGAAAGCGTGGATTTGCTGACAGCCACATCATTGCTTGAGTCTTTAGAGGAGTTCACTGAGAAACTGCGTGAAAAGTTTGACGAGATTGAAGATGATGCAAAGAACACCATGCCATACACATAAACCATCATTATCAATATGAAGAAAAACGAAAGAGTTATTTTGATGAAAGTAAATCACCAGATGAAGAATTCACAGAATCCCCAGGTCAGATGGTTACAGTGCAAACTTTCACTCTAATCATAGGTAAACTGTAGACTTGTCTTGCACAACGTTAAGAAGTTTACAGAGGACTAGCAGATGATTTTGCATTTCTAAAATGTTTCTCAGTTCAAAACAGAGCATTTGCCAGCTCGAGTAATTCATCTCACATCAAAATACAGAGATGATTTTTATTCTGATTGTGCTGATGAGTTTGAAATTTTTTATGATTTTATGGTCAGATTGAAGGAGAAAATGGATTCACCACTGTCGATGCTCAAGTTCATAAAACATCAGAATTTGGAAGCAACTTTTCCAAATGTCAGCATAGCTTTGAGAATATTTCTGTCATTGCATGTCACAGTGTGTGAAGCAGAACACAGCTTCTCAAAAATGAAACTGGTGAAAAGTGAAAGGCGTGCTACAATGAGTCAAGATAAGCTGAACTGCCTTGCCGTAATGTCCATTGAAAGCGATCTAACACATGTGATTGACTTTGAAGTTGTGGTTCCCAGTTTGCTGCTATGAAAGCTCGAAAGGCTAACTTTTAGTCAAATACATCTATAAAGTGCTTTATCTAGATACAGTTGTTTCTTCCAATAAATTAATTAAAATGAGACATTCTGATTATTACAAATTTGTCAGATTTTATTTTATTGAAAGATCAATTTTATTTTCGGAGTAATCTACGTACGACTGCTGGTAATGAATGTATGCCACTTAAAACTTAGAGAAAACACTTGAAATGGCCTTATAGTTTATTATTTTATAAGTTGAATTCACAAAAAAAAAACATTAAATAAACTACCTTTATTTGAAATTTACAATGTCTTTCTTTGTCATGAAAAAAGTAGGGGGATGGGTAAGGGGGGCCCCTCTCGATAAAGTGCCCGGGGCCCTAGATTGTCTTAATGCGGCCCTGATTAAGCTTCAACCAGAATGTTAATATAAGACTATTGTTTTTTATTTTCAGGTTTGTCCTCCATATGACTTTGAGGGAACAACTGCTCTCACTGGGGCAAACTTGTTGTTTGAAATGCTCTGTACTCTCCCAGGTGTTGTTACCAGAAAATAAACCCATATACTTTGAAAAGGTACTGTACTTTCATATGTTTACAATGTAAGAAACACCTATTTTCCAAAAACATCATTGCTGGTTTCCACTTAACTGATGCATTTCAGAGCATAAACAGTAATATCTCTTAACCAGAATCCCCATTAGCCAGAACTCTCCAATACCCGGAATTCTAATTGGCTCGGAATTTTGTGGGTAAACTCTCTCCATTTCGGTTTGTGAACGAGTTTCCGAGGTTGAAAATCGGGGACATTTTCTGACAAAATTCCAGAAATTCACTCCATTTTTTTTGGGGATTCTAAGAGCAAATTCTGAGGTTGAAAAAATTCTAATGCATGACAGTGGTATTGTGAGTAATGTTTATATATCATCAACAGATTTATAGATATGTTTGAGAAATTATATATTTAAAAAAAAATTTTCATTTTAATTTTTCTAGAGAACTTAATTGTTTGTCATGTGCATTGTTGCTTTTCTGTGTTGTGTGGAGGCGCTGACATTCCAACACTAGTCTGATTTGAATATGCTGCTGTGTGACGACTGTGAAATTATGTACAGTATTATAAATGTGTGGAGGACGTTTATCAAGATAATTACACAACAATAGTCTTAGATTAGTTTAAGATACATTTCACTAATTTTGCGGCAAAAAGCATCACTAGTGAATGTATTAAATCAGAATTCTATGAAAAATTATACCTTTTCTAAAAAAAAAGGCAATACCACTGTTATGCATTTTTATCCCCCTATTTTTATTGGGTTTGATGAGCTTGGCTTGGATTAGGTATTATTTGATTATGATTTCAGTGTTCAACTTTTTGTCTTTAACTATTATGATGATAATTGTGGAAGTTTTGGCTGTAAACCACTTATTCAGTACCTCACTAACTTGTGTGTAAAAGCAGATAAGAGTGTCCAAATTCACCATTACCAAAGCTCCTACATAGATCTCTGTTGGTACATTTGGATCAGTTATATGTGGCACACATACTGAGGAATTTCTTTAAGAATTTTACTAATAGGCTGCAATAACTAATATCTTCAGTTTGCAGAGGAAGATGTATGCTACCTTTGAAACATATTACAAAACTTTTACTAATAAATAAAGGGACAATGAATTAAATTTAATTAATTTTTGTTTTGTTTTTATAACCTCCATAAAATATAAGGAAATATACAGGAAAATATTGTAAGAAAAATAAATATTTTTGTTTTTGGTGTTTAACTTGTAGTTTTCGGTGCTCAGATGAGCGGATCCATAAACACGAAAGCAATTTTTTACCTTTTTATAGATTAAGTAAAGTTTTCAAAGGTTTGTTTGGTGTTCTTTTTAGTATTTTATCCCACATTTTCCCTCTACTTCAAAACCCTGCCCACTGTAAGCAACCAATATTGTTGGTAATTGGGGAGGTCATGTTGTTTAAATTACTAAAAAAATATAGATTTGCACCAGAAACGCCATAGAAGAAAATCGATTCCCAATTAAAAAAGAAACCTGTAAAACACATTACTGAAATAAAAATCAGTGCCAGGTGCATCATCCAAATTTACCATATTTTCTTCTATAAATGTCAAAGGCGAATACAAGTGCACCTGATGGGGTTTAATGTTGTTATGGCATGATTGGCTTGCGTCTCCAACTCAGTTATGTATCAGTCACAGTCATTGGCCGAGAGGAAGTGCACCACCGCCACCTGTCGGCATTTTACAAACTAATGCCCGAGTTCATACAAGCAACACAGCTAAGTTACGAATCGTGAGTGATTCGTTCTTATAGAAGTTCGTATGGACTTCAGACCTCCCGACAGTAATGAACTTCGTATCTCAGCAGTGTTAGTGAATCTGGGTTCAGCCAATCAGTGTCAACTTTAACCTGGACCACCCTCAGGACCACCACCAAAGGAGTGGCCAGACTGGAGCGCCTAGCTTATACTACAGACAGGCGAGGGGTAACCTAATCGA